TATTTTAAAGTACAACCTTCAAAATCACAAACTATTCCCAAAATTTTATTTATCTAATCTTAATTATTTCTTGTGTGTGCATTTAATTGTCTATGGGTTGAAACAGTGTCAAATAAAGAAAAACACGCTGTTGAAAATTCAGTAGAAACCAAGATGTAAAGAAATACAATAAAAAGCTATTTGCTTCACCATTTCATAGAGAAAGCAAACTCAGACTTTTTAAATGATCAGCAGAAATGATTTACATATCAGGAGCAAGTGAAGTTTAAAACCATGAATACGCATTAAGACACTTCACAAGGAACATAGGCTAGCCTTAATTTACCAGAAACAGGTCAGGAACAAAACAAGAGCTTATCCTTCCAAATTTCTTCTTATTCAATATGGATGTATAACCTACAATGCAAGTCTTCTAGTTTATCTTCACCTCCATAAAAAAAAAAAAAAACCTTGGGAACTCGATAAGAATTATATCTAGATATTTTCTTCCCTGCTCAGGAAACAGTTATTTCATCCAACAGATTTTTTTAAATTAATGTGCTAAACAATTCTTAATAGAAAAGTGAAATAATTTCTACACATGATAAAAACTAACCAAAATTTACTGCCACCACATTTATAATAATCCTATTTACAAAAGATTCCAATTGACTTTATACAGTTTTTATTGAAAAATTGTACACCTAGAAGTTTTAATGATACATTTTTTTTAAATATCAGTCATTAAAATATTAATGTTCTTGTCAAAGATAAAAAAAAACAAAACAATACAAACATTTGTCAATATGATTTTGTAATGTAATTTACTTAATTTATTTCTAATGATGAATAACAATCTAATCTTTGGTATGCAAAAATTGAACAGCCTTTTCTAGAACCTTTACAGATCAGTTAGAAAAATTAAGCAGACACACACGCGCGCGCACATATATATATATATATGTGTGTGTGTGTGTGTGTGTGTGTGTGTGCGACAGTTTCAACTTAAATTCCTGAATAATTTTTACTTAATTTGCATTTTGTTATTTTGCATACTCAAATGATAATTCCCATTGCTTTGGAAAGCAGCTCAAAATTTTGGAATGAGCAAAAAATGTTATTGCAGCCTTTAGAGATGAGAAAGCAAAAATTGTTGTTGATGTTAAAATTAATCTTCAGGTTTGAACTATCACCGTAGTTCATTTTATGAAAGAAAAGCAAGATTTATTCAAAAGTTTTTAGCAAGCATCATTAGTAATTTTAACACTTCTAGAAAATTGCCATTCAAACTTCCATTGAGATTTTGGTTTTTTAGAAAGTATGGAGGCCATTGTGATATAAACAATTACAAAAGTTAATCACAAGCATTATAATACACAACAAATATAAAAAGGATCCCAATTCAAGTCCTTGTCTGACTTAACATTGTGTGAATGATTTCAGTAGTCTAGCATGATAACTCTTATAAGCTCACACTAATCATCCTCTTAAATCACTATAACAACTATGTGTCTGTCAAAGACAAATTCAAATAAACAAACTTACATTAGAAAGATATGGAGTACTTAAACCTTTTTAATATTTGAGATGATTTTGGAAAAAAATTAATTCCTGTAGAACTTAAAATTTCAAATACCAGCAAATTATTTGCAATAAACAATATGCTCTATATATTATTTATAAAACAAATTCCTGTACTCATTTTTTTTTAAAGTTAAATATGTAATCTCTTTTTTTTCTCTTTCAAACAATACATGCCCATAGTATTTCCTATTGGTAGTTGATATCTCTTACAGTTTTCATGTATTCAATGTTCTTTTTGTCTAAACAGAACTAGGAAGCAATTTTTCATTTGATTTATGCAGATAAAGTAAATAATTTCTTCAAAAACTTTCAAGTTATGTAATGGCTCTATTATAAAACAAAAGTTTAAAATGATTGATATAAAGTCCCTTCAAGTTTTAATTTGATACCTTTTTTTTTAAATTATATAAAAAAAAAAAAAAAAAAAAATCCCAAACTTAATTGAAAAATTGCTTTTGTAATTTCTATTTATATAAAACTCTCAAAACCCAGTTATATTTGATATTCAAATGAACTCATGATTGGGATGAAGATTAACATCTGAGAAGCATAATGAGAAAGAAAACAAAAAGGAATAAAAGAAAAAATTTCTATCCTAGGATGAATATACAGAAGATTACACGTCTTATTTACTAAACATCACTTAGTTTGGGCACAAGGCCCAAACTATGGAGCACCCAGTAATGGTTGAATTCATTACTAATGACTTTCAATTTCAGTTTACTGACAAGGAAGCCTGATATTATACAGGATGGGATAATGGATAGCAGTTCAGATTGAAGAATCAGAGAGCCAAGTTCAAATTTCAGTCAAATCCATTACATTCACTTACGTGCTAATACCCTTGGGAAAGGTATGTATCCTCTTATCCTCCCAGCTATGGGTAAATAGCAGGACAGACTGGGTTCATATAGCATTGGGTGGCAACCAGTCTAGGAGAAAGTAACTGAATTCAAAACTGTATGTAGCCCTGGTGTAGTATATACTATACAGCTAAAGAACGAATCATTCGCATTGGCTCGATGACCCCGACTATGGTCAAATGATGAGATGAGATTATGCATTTTAATGATATTATAAGACTGTGTGAAGCTATCCGAAATTGTTTTACATATCTGATGGAAGTTTAAAACCTAAAATAAAAAACATCCAAAAATGCGAAGGAAGTATAACATGCCCCAGCCATGCAGACCTCATTAGAAAAATGAAAAGGACATGCAAAATTAGTAATGGTCATTGGACTGAAGTAGTACATTACCGTAGGGATGTGAATAACAACAGAGATCGGCATACATGTTTTCTCAAGAAGTACCGCAAATGTGGTAGGCAGATGGTTTGGGGTGGAAGGGTCAACAAGATCCTAAAGACCACCACAAAAAGGAGGAAAAAAGAAAGAAAAACGATTGGATAGAAGCACAGGTGTTGGTTTTTGAGAAAGAATCTCCAGCATGTGAACAGGATGGGAAAGGAAGGATCAGTAAGAGAGGTCCACATACAATGCACACAGGAACACTGTTGGATGTAAGCTCACAGAAGTATGCATTTTCAGAAACTATTGGGAGAAAATATATTAACAGGATTAAATCATAGACACACAAGCATTCATATTGCTAATAAAAATTTGATAATTAAAAATTGGCTTTTCAGATAAAAAAGTAATAAAACAAGGATTATGAGTTTTACTTATAGTTAATAAGGATAAATATTTCATTTTAATTAGGACACTTAAACTTAAGTATGTATCAAAAAGAAAACTGCTGAAAAGTTATTTTGTATATAATTCTAAATATAAACAACTCGAAAATATTAAGTTTTGTTTTTTTAAAAAAAAAAAAAAAAAAAAAAAAAAAATCACTGGTAATTTTTTAAAGCAATATTAAAAACAGATTCAATTTTTAAAGTATCATGAAATACTTGATCTTAAAGAATTTACAAAATATTTGCTTTCTACGTTACTTTATTATTATTTGATAATAACTATCTTTTTTTCTATGGCACATATCTGAAACCAAATAAAAATCTTTAAATAATATTCATCTTAAAAAGCATTTATGTTGCCTAAAACTATTTAGATTAAAAACCGAGTAATCTTGGATTAGATTTTTTAGTTAATGTCAAAAGGTTAATATTAAATATAGACAAATTGCTAACATAAAAGTACATAGCAATTTTATTAAGTTTGAGAATATAGGAGGATTAAAAATAAAATGGAAAAACAGAATATATTTTCAAGAGACTAATATATAAATAAACTAAAAATGCATGCACAAAGCCATTTTAGATATAGCAGCTTTCAAGAAAAAAAATTAGAAAAGCTTTGGAGACAAAATAAAAAATAATAAAAAGCCAAGCTAGCAATTCACAAGCAAAATTTAAAATATTATAAAATTCTATCAGCTATCCAGACAATGATGATTTATTTCAAGTGTGTGTGTGTGTGTGTGTGTGTGACAACAAACATTGAGAAAGTACTCAGGAATTCCACTCTAAAATTGTGACTCCAAGTTTCAGGTTAAGCAATCTTCAAAAGAAGATCTTTTTTTATTTGAAAATCACATAGCATGAAACGGAGTCACAATTTTAGATTGGAGTTCCTGAGTACTTTCTTGATGTTTGACCGCATGACTGCTCCATCTTAGGTTGGTATCTAGAGACAAGATAAACTACAGATTTTTGCTAGGTATTTTTCCCAGGTTTTCTTTTTTTTGGCACCTTCTCTTTACAGTTTATTTGCTTTATTCTATGACACACATACTCTTTCCTTTGAATAAGTCAAATTTCCAACCTGTTCAAATATCAAACTACACTATAACCTATTTTTTAATTAACTGGTCTAATGCCTGATCAAACAAGTTCTTCCACTAGATTGGAATAATGTTGTAATATGCTATTCAAGAGAATGAAACTGAAGTTATTCAGAAATGCTTGAAGCTGCAAAATACTTGAAAAAAACATAACATTATTGCTTAAAAAAGATATCTAAAAAATTTGACTTAATTTTCATGAGTAGGAAACTATAAAAATATTCATGATTTGAAATGGATAAGGAATTTGCATAATTTTATAGAAAAATTAAAAATCTCAGGTTTATAATATCAATCTTTTTCTATAAAGAAAAACTATTTACAAAAGTTTAATATGCTTCTCTTTTAAACTTTAAAAATAATAAATGTGATATCTGTTAATGAGTTCAATAAATTTATCTTACCCTGATGAGTGGATCTGTGTGTGTGAAACTCATTTGAACTTTTATCTAGCCACTATTTTTAAATCTATAGAAAACAGCATAAGCCAAGATCTTCTCTTCAGTTAAATTTTTAAATATACCAATTTAAAAGAAGTTATTTTATAATCTGTCTTTTTTAAGAAATTAAAAGCAACTCTAGTGATTAAAAATACATAAAAAATAAAATAGCTTCTAAGAAAATAATACTTACCCAAAAGAATATCTTCCAATGCCCCATGATAAACCTCATCTTTGTTTAATAATTTCTTTTCTTTTATCTGTCTGTTGCGTCCCTTTGAAACTTCGGCTGCAGAACTTTCCTGAAAGAGATTTCAGAGAAATAAGAAACTATAAACAAATTTCTCACAATATTTTACATTTCAGTTTTAAAATGGAAATCTTTAAGCTTAATTTTTACAATTGTAATAAAAATTCAATGACTGAGACAAAAGTAAATTATATTTGGTATAAAAATTGCTTTGTAAAAGATGGAACATCTTGCAAGAGGTAAATGACAAAAGAATTAAAAATTAAAATATTTCTACATTATCAAAATATCAAAACCATGTATTAATTTCAAAAGGTGGATGATGTATTATCAAATATTTAATAAGAACGTTTGTTAAAATTTAAAAACCTTTGGAGAAACAAACAGATGTCTGCTTAAAATCCAACTTTTCATGGCACTTTTTAAATAGATATGTAGAAAATAACAAATATAGAACAATTCTATTTCATTTCCTCTTACAGAAAAATTATTAACCTTTACTAAGAAATTAGCAGCTAACTAAACAGAAATTAAGAAATACTGAATAATTTTAGAGGAACTTTGTAGTGAAAAACAGAAAATTTGACACAAATAAATCAAACAAGAGTTCAAAAAAATAAAAGCTCATTAATATAAGATTGTTTTTAAAATTCTTTTACTAAGTGTGAGAGAAAATGTCTACACATGTATAAAGAGTTTAAAATCTGACAAAAAATTAAACCCCGTCTCACAAAACACATTGTACTAAATTTCAAAATTTAGAGATTACACAACTAATTAGTAATAAAGTAAATTCATTATCCCAAGAATTATACAAGTCTAAAATTGGCTGTTTATATTTAATCATTAATTTTTAGCTTAAAAAATTTGTGATGGTGAAACTACATCAATGTGAATACTTCAAGTTGATTGAGTTTAAAATAAACATTTGTATAAAACTTTTCCCAAAGATTACAAATGAAGTCTTGAACTGTTCAAATCTAGCAAAATTAAAGCCATCTAAAGGAGAAACATTTCTTCAACATCACATGCAAAACAAATTTCTTAAGAGCATCACTGATTCATTGAAGTAGCAAGGACTACATTTTATTGTTAGCAATTTTATCATTGGAGAACTAAGATTTTCTATAAAACTGGCAGTAGCAAAGAAAATAAAAACTTAGAAAAATATTTGTTTTCATTTATGTTAAGTCTAGTCTAAATTTATTCATTCTGGATAGTCTTTCATAAGCTTACACTATAAAATCCAGTGTTTTCAATTCTAAGACTCCCTTTGCAATTGGATACTATCAAGAATCAAATAATTTGTCAGAACTTTTAACAATAGTCAAATTTACAAATATTTAAAAAAAATAATTTCAGCATTTACATCATGCAAATTTAATTTTCTCTAAAAACTTACTTTTTAAATATAACTCCATTCTTAAGACAGATATTTTTGTTTTGTTAAAAATTTAATAAGCCCTTAAATTAAATTTAATTAACTCATTCATGCTATGTGATCTTCAAACATTTAAAATGGAATCCTGAAATTTTGATTTTTTTTTTTTTTTTTTACACAGGTCAAAGTATTTTTTTTAAGGTTCAAGGACTTGAGAGAGGGTTATCTATCTATACCAGTAGTTCCTAACCTTTTTGACTCCAACCACCACTTAAAAAGATAAAAACTATTAAATATGTGAATGAAACTGAAGATTTTTAGAATTAATCAGTTATACCTCACACAACTAACTTCTCAGACATGGATTGCTTTTTACTTTTTAGCAAAATTAGAGAACTCTTTATGCTAACAAATAATTTCTAACATCACAAAATGGTTATCCTCATCAAAAGAGAAAAATGTAAGAAAGTGTTAATTGCTATGTAAATAACATTAACACCACTTACAACTACCTTTAATCTCTTCTCCTTTTTCTTCTGTAAGGTTGGTGGTAACACATCATCTACAGCTGCAAATTCTAATTTCTTCCGGCGTTCGTTGTCAATAAGCGCTTGCTGTAAAGAAGACATCCAAGAACAAATTGTGAAAAAAATAGATATTCATTTTAAGTGAAACAATTTTCAGTAAATTTTAATATTACATAAAAAATTTCAATACTTTAAAATTTAGTATGGGAAAAACAAAATCTATCTTAGAATTTACAGTAAGTGCATAAGATCAAATCTTAAGTTTATAAAATGCAATCAGTTTTTAATAGGGAATGTTTTTTTCAACAGTTACTAAAAAATTTTATTTCTAGTAGAATATGAGGAATTTTTAGAAAACAAAAATGCATGTAAGATTAATACAATTCAAACAATAATACGGTCAAGATTCAAAATAAGCACTCAAAATAAAAACTACCAATAGCAAATAAGTAAATAGTACAAATATCCAATATCAAAATCAGTACAGATTTGCAAATACATTTTATGCAAAAGAGTTTTCTAATTAAAAAGTTTACATTATATTGGATACATAATATGCATATTAAAAATATGCATAGTATATTCAGAAAAAAAACTTTGGTAACAATTCATACAGGTTTATTTTAAATAAAATTATTTTTAAATATATTTTTGTATTGTGTGTGTGTGTGTGTGTGTGTGTGTGTGTGTGTATATATATATATATATATATATATATATAAAATATAAAAGCAAGTATGGACTATGTTTATTTTAAATGTTGTAGAAATCTTTAAAATGCTGAATTTTATTAGCATTTTCACTAATGTTAGGATACAATTTCACTGATGCCAACTTATTAAACTTTATACACAGAAATGACTAAGCAAAAATAAAAGTACACTATAGGTAAAAAGTTTGGTTGAACCCAGCATTTCTTTAAAAAAAAAAAAAAAATAAAATAAAAAAATAATAAGCACTTAACTATAAAAAAAAAAATTATACCACAGTATCATGTTTTGTTTTTGTCAATAAAACCACTGCCTACATTAATTATTGCTTTACAAATTCTTGGCATCCTTTCCAAGTTTTTGAAAAAAAAGTAGATGGCAGACCTTTCCAAGTATTCTTTAAGCACTGGAAAATTTCACTCACTCTTTGGGTATTCTTTTTGAATTCTCCTATCCAATTCATCCCATAATAATTCAATCAGAGAGAGGTGAGAAGATTGAGGTGGCCAAGTCCAAAATTTTGTAGTTTTTTTTTTGTTTTATTTTTTGACTAAATGTAATTTTGACATAATTTAGAAGTGTGTTTTGGATCATTCATGTTGAAAGGTGATTTTTTTTCCAATTATGTGTAAAAAACCAGATGGTATGCCATGTCTTTGCAAAAATCAAAATATTCTTTTTTCATGATTCCTTTGATCTGAATTAAATGTCCAGCCCTCTCTACCCAGAAACACACACACAATTACAGACCAACCACTGTGCTTAACTGTTCAAACCACACATTCATCATTCAATCTTTCTCCTGGCTTTTTCCTAACATTCACTCTCCTCTTACTAGCAAAAAGTTCAAATTTGGACTCATCTGTCCGCAATACATTTTGCCATTCTTTCAATGTCCAGTTCTTATACTTTTTTTTGCCTATAACAGTTTTTTTTCTATTTATTCACCTTCTTCAACAGAAGAACCCCCTGATCCCCACTGTTCTAAGTCAAACATTTTTCTGGTTGAGAATGATTCTGGATGCTGTCAAGATAAATTAACTTCAGCTTTCAACTCTGGAGCAATTTTCCTTCTATTTCTTTTGCTCTCAATAATCAAGTGTTTATCTTCTTGTCACTTTTGGTGTTCCAGCTCTTTTTGTGTCAATATTTATGCCAGTTTCTAACTGCCTTTGTAATCAATATTGCACTCCATGTCTAGAAATTTCCAACTTTTTGGCAATTTGTCTTTGAGAGTAGCCTTCTTACAATAAAATTTCACTTTGTACCCTTACCTCAATGCTTAGCTGCTTTGATTTTTCCATTTTGTGCAAATCATTTCAAACACATTATATATATATATATATATATATATATATATATATATATATATACATACTGTCATAGTTTTTTTTCTTCAAACAGAGGCCACTATACACATTTTGTTTACAACATTTGTCAGTACAGAGTCAGCATTTAGAACTTATATCAACAATTAATTTAATTGAACACTTTTGTAATCTCAAAGTCTAATGAGGAGTTAATGCCAAAAAAATTGTTTCTCATACAAAATATTCATAATTTAGCAAAATGAATTGTGGACAAATGAATCCAAATTTGAACTTTTTGATAGTAAGTGGAGCCTGGAGAAAAACTGAAAAATAAAAGCAAATCCACTGTAGTTACTGAAATTTTATCTTATTTTGAAAAAATACAAAATTCTTATTTTGAGGTGTTTTTTTTTTTTTTTTTTTAAAGAAATGCAGGGAGACCCCAAACCTTTTGCCTGCAGTGTACTTAATATTTGTATAAAATTATTTTTAGTCACAGTTTCACATACAAATAGAAGCATAGTTATACTGCAATTAATGGATCTTTTAAAATGATTTGTCACTTACCTTGAACGCATTAACAAAACGTACAAATTGTGCAAAAAATGTTGTAGGGGAAACCATCCTGGGATTTTCACCAAAATATTCAACAACACGATGATAAGCATCCTGGAGGGGGGGGAAAAAAAAGGAAATTTTATATTAATACATTTTGAATCCCAACAAAGTAATTAAAAGGGAAACTCAATACCAAGTACATAAATTGCCTAAAAAAATACTCCAGCACATAAAGAGACATTCAATTTTTGGCAAAGTTTAACCTTTGTACCCACAATAAAACAGTAGGTCAAAAGGATATTTTTCCCTTGACACCGTTATTATTTTTTAACTACATTCACTCACTCGCCAAATGTTTGTTTTAAAATGTGATTAGAATTTTAATAAAAACCCCTTTAAAAAGTGAATTTATATATTCTTTGTTCTTTTAGAATTAATTACCAAAAATATAAAACACTACTTATTTATTAAATGGTTTATTTACAAGAATAATTTTTATTTATAACATTAAAAATATGAACCATAAAATACGGACCAACTAATACAATGCAATTAGTATCATTTATGAATTAATAAAGAAATAAATGTGAAAAATATTTTTATTTATAAAAATTACTAAATCACAAAAATATTCACTCCCTCAGAAACTCAAACATATGAAAGTGGATTTATACATCTGATAATACTTTCTTTTCTTAAAATTCTTGAATAAAAAAAATTTTTCAAATTTATTTCTTTAGAAAATGGTAAATAATAATTCTTTACAAAAACGGTTAAGTAATTGCATTGTACATGGTTCACAAATTTTTATAATTCTGTGAATAAGCATTACTGGAGATAGTAATACGAAATAGCAGTGTCAACAAAAAAGCCATTGTCCTTTTGACACACCATTTTTTGCAAGCAAGAAGGTTAAACATTGCTCAATTTTCCATATCATTTAAAAGGAGATTATCTCCCCTATCTACTTTGTAAAAAGGTTTTTCATTCTCATTACAAGTACTAACTTAAATATTATATAATTTTAAAGTGAAAATGCAGAAACTTTTCTAACTGTTAGTTTTGTATACTTTATGCTTGTTTGATCAGCTATGTACAACTGTGTGCATTATAAACTCACTTTAATTTTGTGAATGTGCAATAAGAGATTCAGTGAATATCAAAAGTAATCAGAAGAATTGGGATTAGAGAACAACAGTCTAAAATATACACTAGTTTTTTTTTGTTTTTTTAAACAAGAAACCTGCTGTAATGATCAAAAGACAATCTCACTAGCTAATGCTAAAGTGCTCAATCTTCTCTAAATGTTCCAGTATTGTGAGCTTGTCAGGTTAAACAATATATCAAACTGAAAATTCATTTTCAGTTTTGAAAAAAAAAAAAAAAAAAAAAAAAAAAAAAGAAATGCTGTCTAGGGGGAAATGAATATGAAAATCCTTCAAAATTATGCAATATCCATCAATGATTTACATTCTGCAATCATAGTGATAAATAAATGTCAACTAATGAAGACTATTTGAGTGCAAGTAAACTCAAACACCTAAAAATTTCCAAAAATTAAAAAAGGAAAATATTTTTAAAATTTTAAGGCTAGAATAGAAAGTAAATTTGAAAAATATATAAATAAAATAAAATTCTCTTTTTAATTGTTTCAACATCAAAAAGAGGAACTTTTCATTTTGTGACAAAACTTTAATAATAGTCAACATTTTATAAATAATTCTGTTCTCTACAAAAAAGAAATCTAATCACTTTCCTGAACTTATTTGAACTAATGAACTTATTCAATTTGAAAGATCTCTAGTGTACAATCTGTAAGGATTTTTTTTATTTATGTATCCAGAAATGGTTTTATTTATAATGTATGCATGTAGCACAAGGCCAAAGAGAGTTTCTACATTCTCCTACTTACTTATTACATTAATATAACACTAAGTTTCACCAAAACAACTTATATTTCCCATCCTTCTAAAGTCTACTTCAACTCAATACTTTTAACTTCTCCAACCAAGCTCTGAAATTTTATCCACTATTTTTTTTCTTCTCTCCCAATAGGAGTAGATAGGTGAACCTATCATGCAGTTCACACTCCTCCTAGGAGTTTTTAACAGGAGCAGAGGTTTATCCCTTGTTTCCTGTTCAGGATTGGGTTTCCAGTTCTTTCTAAAGTGTACTATCACACTATACTTCTAACGTCTCCAACTGAACTCTGAAATGCTATTCACCAATTAAATCTTGACCTCTTCAAGTCTAGAGTTAGCCATTATCTTTCTTTCATAGCCCCAAGAACTTCATTTCTTGCCCTTTCATATGCTCATACAACAGTAAACCTCTACTATAAGTGGCTTTTGTACCTTGTATTGGTTGAACATTATAAAAATAAATAATCCACTAGAATACATTATTTGCTGTATGAAAACTTACTATAATTTCCAAGCCTTAAACTAGGTGGTTTTCAATTTTTATTATAGGTTTAGGCTATTTTTCATTGATCTAACACAATCTTAAAGTTTACCACTCTAGTGGACACTTGGGAATTATGTGTTAATGTTTGAGATATAGACAAATGAAAAAAAATCATAGGATAATGTTTAAAAATAAAAAAAAAAAGTTTTGGAACCTAAACAAACTAGTAGTGTTATTATGTATCCCCACCCTTTTCAAGACAACATCCAGTGTGCAGATTCCTTGTAGATATAGTCATGTGTAAGAATTGGTCAGAAGCACACACAAATTATAAAAAAAAAACAAAAAAACTATATACAAATCCAATAGGCAAATCAATTCCACAATTATCTCCTCAATTTCAAGTACACAACTCCTTGCCAGAAATGAGCTTTTCCTTGAGCATACCATGGTTTTATGCACCTGACTCAGCCATCGCTCAGCCAATAAAAATGACTACAAGCGACACCACCACTTCCACCGATACAAAGTGCTGCCCGATTCACCTTCAGTCCAAAGCTTGCCAATTCGCCGTCTCCATACTCTATTGCAAAACATACATGCAATTCTGGCCCTTTTGGGCTGCCAAGGTAAGTCTCCACTACACTCCCCCCCTATCTTCTGATCACAGTTGATGCATCCCAGGACAGGTCACTTCTGTCAGGTACTCCTTCGAAGAGGAACAACGCGAGTTTCATTCTCAGATGAACTACTGCCTGGAGAATCATTAGGTCCTCCAGTATCAGGCTGAACTGCTAGTATTGGAGGAATCACTTTGATTCTAAGCATACTAATCATTCACTCTCTTCTGTGATACTATCAGAGTTTGATGATGGGTATAACCCCTGAGGACGTGGCATCAATGTTTCGTAACCAGATGTGGTACCTATGCAGCACATTGGCCGGTGCTGCAGAAGTTGAAAGGCTGTCCTTGGGAGTGACATTGTGCTAATAGACCGCCTCTGGCCTTGAACATTGTTTTCTGGCTGCGATGGTCTTGATACTATTATGTGTTCAACAATCCCATTCTTAGATCGTGCATGGGCAAAATGAAATCTCAAGTGCCCCCGCCAACTACTTAAAAAGTTCTTTAAGGTGTGTATGTAACCACTTGCCCATTTCCATGAGGCAGTCCACACCTTATTATTTTGGTCAAATGTCATGCCGAAATCAAGCTCATTGATAGAAATGGCAGCACACAGGTTTAGGTTTCCATCAGGAAAGATCACTTCACCTGATCTAGTTAGGTTCGCACCTCCAAGCTCCCTGATTGTGTCAATCCCAAAAAGAAAATCAAATCCCATCAATCATCTATCTACAATCAGGACCTCCCATCAACTATTAGCACTTCCACTTTCTTCTGCCATCAACAAATATCTCTATAGCAGGAAATTCCCATTTCTTTAATTGCTTGAGAAGAAGACTGGTGCTGATTTCTTCCCCCAGGCATTTCCCTGATATGTGCACTCCAATGATATATGCTAGATCTTGTCGCATTTAAAACACTGCATCTCATGACAAGACCTTCACACTCAATTATCCATTCCCTCTGAATGCCCCTGCATACAGTCTCTGGCCATATGGTTAGGACCAGAGCATCTATAGTAAATGACAGCCCCTCTGAATGAGTTAGTGGGAAGAGTCTGTACGTGTTTGTTGAGCAGACATAGCGACTGATTCCTCATGCTTCTTGTCATCAATCATGATAGCAACTGCTCCACAGTTATAGTATCTATCCTGGATGATGCCCAGAGAAGCTGTCTAACATGTCATGACAGACCGGATACAAATGCACACACCAACCAACGTTCAGGCAGCAATTCTCCTACCAGGCAAGCTAGGTGATGCAACTTGGTCAAAAATTCATCCACTGTCTCATCCTGTCAAAGTTGTCATGCCACAAACTGATCAAACACGTTGAACACATCTGTTACATATGTGGTCATAAGGGCCTGTTTGATCTCTTCCAAATCTGCCTTTTGCTCCTTATTCAGTTGCCAATACACGGCAAGAGCACCACCTTGCAGTCATAGTGGCAAAACATGCTCAACTTTGTCCATGGCAGAGCTCACAGACTAACTCAAAGTTTTCGATTCATTCTATGATCAGCAGATCAGTCACAGCACTGCTGAACTCTGGAATCAGCCGGATATCAAAGTCCTTGTCTGACATCATGGAAAGGAGGAAAAAAAAAAAAAAAAAAAAAAACTGCCAAAATAGTTTGTGTAAGAATTGTTCAGAAGCACACGGATGAAAAAAAAAACCCAAAAAAAAAAACCCAAAAAACCTATATACAAGTCCAATAGGTAAATCAATTCCACAATTATCTCCATTTCTCAATCAAAAGTACGCAACTCCTCATCAAAAACAAACTTTTCCTTGAATGAGCATACCGTGCTTTTATGCACCTGACCTAGCCATCACTCAGCCAATGAGCACACAGTACGATTCAATAAAAATGGCTACAAGCAACACTACCACTTCCACCTACACAAAGTGCTGCCTAATCCACCTTCAGTCCGAAGTTCGCCAATTCGCCATCCATTGCAAAACATACAGGCAACTTTGGCCCTTTTGGGTCACCAAGTCTCCACTACAAGTAAGTCATTATCCTATATAAACAATTCTGTCCACTTTGCAGAAAGAATTCAAGATGTTCCCATAGATTCCAACTGAGAGTGAATTTGGATATTGTGAGTCTATTCACCAAAGTTCTTCACAGATAAAGCTGTGTGTGCAATCCAAGATAAACTGAAATCAGTCAACATCTCTTTGAGAACATACCAGTATTGACATAACTTTAAAGAAATGTTAACATTCTTGCATTCTTGATATAAACAACATACTTCCAAACACATAGGAAAGAATGAATATCCAAAAATGGAAAGTAAGTAGGGAAAAGAAATTAAAAAAGAAAAGAAAAATAGTAATGGCAATAATGATCACATCAGACCATTCTCAACAATACAGACAATTCTATCAAACCGTGTTACACTGATATAACCATAATTTTACGTGCATAAATGCTCTCCAATCCAATTCTTTCCTTGCAAAATTCTAAACTGATTTTAGACACACACGTGTGTGTATGTACTTAAAAAAAAACTTATACAAAAAATCTTTCTTAAAGTTTTTATTTTAGCTTCAATTCCAAGCTAATAGATTAAATTTAATAGTTCAATAAGCTGTATCTTCTTTGCTGTATTTAAAACTGAATTTAATTACTTTTTGATTATCAGTACAACTCAATTTTCTTGATTAAACAAATGTTTCAAAAACAAAATATACTTTTCTGAAAAAATTGAGAAAAATTAGCCGATTTAAAGTTTTATCTGAATTTAAATAAATATTAGTTATTTTTAATTTAAAATATAGCAGAAAAGCATTTTTTAACACAGAGGTGAGGGTTTTAATGAAACATGTTGGGTAAATTTAAATAAGGAGGAAATAATTGTAATAAAATTACATACAAATACAACAAAACACCCTTTCTTTATATAACTACCTAGTAATCCTAATTTTAAATATTTTAAACATTCTAATATTTTATAGAATTTTAGGTACTTTGGCTTTATAGTCTTACATATAAAAATGCATGTTGAGCAAATCTTAAATTGCCAATAAATTTTAAATTTACTATAGCTACCACTCTTATTTTCTGATCATGTGTATGGATGTCCATATTTACAGAAATCAGCAAAATAATAAAAAAAAAAATTTGAACACTTTTATCCATATATATATAATTGGTGGATTCATTTTCAATGCCTTAACCATTTGCAGATTATTTAAAGCCAGAATATATTTTTAGATTGCAAGAATTTTTTTTTGGGGGGGGGTCATGATCTAGTGATACAAGTTTTACCAATTAACCCATAGTTGGGGAGAGGGAGAAGAGGTGGTTTCATACCTTTCCCAAGGGTATTTGCACATAAATGAATACAAGAAACCCAACTGGAATTGGAACTCTGCTCTCCAATTAACAATTCTCAGCCATTATCCATTACATCACCCATACATTCAAGCTTAACTTTGTTATACAGGAACCAGTGTTTCAATGTAATGTAGCTGTAAGCTCCATTAATATAAGCTACCTTAAAACACACACATGCACATATATATATATATATATATATATCTCACAATCACTCACACAAAATTTTGGGATTGTTTACCAGAACAGATTTGAATCTTTTCTGACCTTAAGGTTTCTGCAAATAAAATTATTGGCTCAAAATTAAAATACTATCATAGTCGACATGCTCCTACCACTTTTTCTTATCCCACAGATCAATGTATAGGAAACGTTAGAACTAATTGTATATCAAGGATTAAATATTAGATTCAGTATCTAGAGCAAGAATTGAGATACAAGTGCAAGATTCTTCAAATACAAACAAAATTTCTCACTGACCTTTGCTGTTTTTACATCCCCAATGAGCTTTCTTAGCTTATCCTCAGAGTTAGACAAGAAGTCCTTCAGCATCGTGGGAGCGTCTCTCTCCTTGCGAGTCTGGTATTCTTTCTTTGTCATTTCCATACCTTTTTCTAATTCGTGAACATCAGTCATTATGTTTTCCAAAGACACTGCATAAAATGGAAAAAGGTATTAACAGAAAGGTAAACTATAACTAAATCTACCAAAATATAAGAAAACTATCATAACTTGATTAATACAAATGTTATAAAATTGTGAAATAGTTAAAAATGATAGAAATAATTAGTTAAACCAAAATAGATAAGAATACATTTGCAATTGTTTTTACAAAGACATGCAGATTAACACTTGTATTTATGCACAGAATACTTCAAGTCAAAATGTTTGCAAATTTTATTTACTGAAAACCCACTGCATACTGGAAAATGATGTATTATTTATCTGCCATAAGCTCAATTTTAATCAACATTAAAATACAATAAACATGGCAGTAAAAAAAAAAAAAATCCTTACCTAATGCAGCTTTTTCAATGAACCGTAGTTCAGCTTCAAAATTAATGATATCTCCAAATTTCTCTTGCACGGTATGAACAAGGAAGTGCATTAAACTAATTTTTTTATCACTTGATTTCGTATCCAACAGCTGAAAAAAAAAAAATTTCAAACAAACATTCCTTAAAATATCAAAAATTTTCTTAATACAGGAATTTAAAAAATGAAACAGGTAATTAAATTTTAGTTACCAATTATAGAAATAATTTTTAAGATGTGAAACAGATATAGGATAAATCATCCAGAATAAACTACTAAATATGAATTTCTGAAATTCATTTTTTTTTTTTTACTTTTACGTGCCATACCTTCCAGGATGTAGATGACCATGGCTCTCCACAACTTCCTATTTTTCATTATGCTAAGCAAGTTTTGGCACTTTGCTAATGCCCCTATATTCTGGTTTTACCATTCATTCACTTAAATTTGTTAAGTAGGTTACTAATTGTTTCCTCCCAATTCTCTGGCCATCTGAGTGAAATTCTCCAGAATCTCTTTTCTCATCAAGTGTTTCAGAATTTTCATCTCTTTCTGATGAAAAGTATAATTTTCCTTGTTATTCATCACTTTCATATATTCATTATTTCACTAAGCTAATCAATCCTTAAATCATCTAAAGCTGCCAGCATTATTACAAAATCCAATATGGTCCTTCTACTTTGTCCATCTTGATCAGTGCCATTCTTACCTCAGATTTTAATATTAAAAGTCTTTTTGTGTTTTTATGCATTGTAGATTTCACTTTTCTGCTGCCATGGAAGAACTCTCTAATGTATTCACTCCATCTTTGATGTATCTTTTTCTATTATGAGCATTACCTTTTTAGACTAAGCATCTTATTGAAGATTAGGTTTTATATCATACTATTTCTTTTATCTTTGTATCCATGTCTGCTATACTTACTTTCTGCAGTTTCTCTGTATTTGTTCAGCCATTCATCTTTTGCTTGTATTTATTTCTAAACAATATCCTATTATTCTACATACTGTGACATTTCTTGGCATTATCTGCTCTCTTTCATTAGCTTAAGAATTTCATCTGTCATCCACTTTTCTTTTTATCTCTCTTCTCTTGAGATAACCTCTTTGCCAATGTCAGTCGTGCTTCCCTTAAGGTGTTTCTGACATCTTCTAAGGTTTTATATTTGTCTTAACTACATCTGCATATGTTTATAGATTGAGCTATTCTGAAATTTGTTGTTTAGGCATTAGTTTACATTTCTTTAATTTTTCTAAGTTTATCCTTAGTTTGCAAATGACTGAAAAGTGATCACTCCCACAGAGCATGGGTAGGTTTTAGATTTTTTATGTCTCTTTCCTTGCTGGGCTTTTCCATGTTCACAAGCATTTTGAGTGTTATTCAAACCAGAAGTTGGTTATTAGTTGATTGTGCATTATGGTTATGCTCCAATAAACAAATTTTTTCCATGTTTATTGCACAATCCAAGTCCAGGTTTGCTATTTCATTATCTGGTTCCTTTTCTACATTTGCATTTAGATAATTTCTTGTGATTTGCTTTATCTAGTATGTTGTAAAACTTATCTATATATGTGTGCTGAAATTATTATTTTTATTCTTATTTATTTTAAAAATAAAAATAATTCCAGGACTTGACAATTTCTTTGGCATGAAATTCAGAGTGGTGTGATTAATGTAAGGAACTATATATATATATATATATATATATATATATTAAATAGCTGTTATTTAACATTGAGCATTGTTTTTTCTTACACTATAAAGCATTTATATGTATATAATCGCTTGATCATATACCTATCCATATTTACCCATTCAGTTATATTAAAAAAAAAATACAAATTAGTGAATGTAGCATTCTACTTCACTAATTTATATATTTTTTTGGAAATGTCTGAAAACCACAAGAACATGAAACTTCAATGACAAGCTGTGCTGATATTGTGAAACATTTTTTGCTCTGTCTGGCTACTCCTCAAAGATGAAGTGACTCGAGGCAACAGAGGTATGGTTCTACAGAAGGATGCTAAGGATACCATGGTAGGTATTTGCCTTTTGGTCTTTTTCTCTTTGTTCATGAATTTTTCCTTTTCTAAGATGTTAAGTAATCTTACAAGTTATCTGTTGGTTACACTAACATCGTTAGTTTTTCTTTAGTGTGTGTGTGTGTATATATATATATATATATATATATATATATATATATAAGTAAGCACACACACACGAGAGAGAGGGGATGTAATTTTAAGTTTTCTAAATGCACTTATTCTAACAGATATGACTGAACTTACCATATCAAGAGACTGCAACTTGAAACCGTAAGCTGGTCCTCTCCTAGCACTATTCATGTAATTTCCAAATGCCAAAATAATCTGAAAAATTGTAAAAATATAGAAAAATGAAATGAATCTTACTAAAAGATTATACAATGTTTCAGGGCTAAATTTCATGCACATTTTTATGTGTTTTATTTTAAAAATATATTTTTGTATTATTAAAACAAAAGTAGGTTTTAAAATGCAACATGTCAACTGTTAATAAATGATTTTCAATGATAATTCTCTGTTAATGTTAAATGGTTATTAAAAATACATACATTTTTAATGTTAATCAGTAACAAGAAGGTATTACACGAATTAATAATGGCAAAACAATTAATTGGATTAATAAAAATTCCATCTGTATTTCTTTGTCTATGGAGCATAAAAATTATTCTAAAAGATGACTTACCTCTAGCATTTTCTTCACTTTTTGAGAATTTCTGATTGACATGGAAGCAGCAATCAGGGCATTTAATTGCTAAAATTGAAAATACAAATACGATTGCATAACTTAAAAAAAAAAGAAGTAGGTTTTCTCATTACTATTGTTAACATCCATCAAAAGCCTAAACATTTCAATCTACACACTGTAACAATAAATCAGAGTTCATATTTTAATTATGGTGATTTATTCTAAAGATAGTTTAAAATATTCACAATATAAATACTATTATATGATGACATAATTCATTTGGTGATGTTTAACATTTATGTCTGCAAAAACTGGTATGTCAAAAGGATGGCTATCCCTTGATACCACTATTACTACATACACTTTTGACTACCATGGCAACGTACATTTACAAGATTACCAAAAAAAAAAAAAAAAAAAAAGTGAACCCAGCACAATGTGATATTATTTACCATTTTATAAAGAAATAAATTTAAAAAAACCTGTTTAATCAAAAATCTATTGAAAAAAAATTACAAAATTATCAAAATATGTAAACCAACTATAAGGCAATATTTATTATTTACCATTTTATAAATAACTATGAAAACAACTTTAGTGAATTTGTGGCAAGCGCAAATGAAATAAATGGCCATAAAATTCATTTTTTCAAAATTTATAATTACTTATAACAAATAATGAGTAAAAAATTTTCAAATTTATTTCTTTTTCTTTTATCATAAAATGGTAAATGATAAATATTTCATTATAGTTTTTATAATCTTGTAAATATCGAATTAGTCTTGTAAATAAGCAATCTAATAGTGTTTAATATCTTTGTCAATTCTCAAGAATAAAAAAAAATGTATAAACCCATTTTCATATTCTTAGATTTTATTTATTTTAATAAAATCTAAGAATATGAAATCATAATTTTTCAAAACAAACATTGCCAAATGAGTAAAGGGAGTTTACAGTAATATTGGTGCCAAAGGAATAACACTCCTTTTGACAGTTTTTTTTTTTTTGAAGGCACAAATGTTAAATGCTGCCATTCATTCTTTTTCAAATGATTATAGTGCAAGGTTCATAAAGAAACAAACTAATCTCAAAATAGAAAAACATACTTACTGGTTGTATGTGATGAATATTATCATAATAATTTCCCACAAAACTCATTATTTGTAGCTTTTGAGATAGACGCTCCACTTTGCACAGCTGAAAGAGAAAACAGACATTAAGAGGTTTCATTTTTTGTTTTATTATTTATTTTAAAAAACTACATTCAGTAGGTCAGAAATGTAAGTTCATAAAAACATTCCATAATTTTAACTTTTTCTGTAACAACATACTCGTATAAAATGAAGAAGTTGTATAAGACTATACGTTTATATTTTCCATTTAAATTTGACAAAATAAAGAGTTGGGGATTTATAATTATTATTTTATTAACGATAAACCAAAAGTTCATTAAACTTTTTTTCCTTTAAATAAAATACTTATATTTTTAGAACTTAGCAAATAAAAGCAAATAATGCCATTTAAATAAAAAATATTATTTATAGCTAGCAATAGTTCCTGTCAAAAATGACAGATTATTTACTACTTAGAATCAGTATATACATGCTCCACCCTGAATCAAAGTGTCAATCTTGGGACTTTAACTAGGATCAGTGTAGTATGTGTGCTCTGCCAGAGTATTTGCAAGTTAATTTTATTATGGTGATGAAGAAGCAGAATGCTGGCATAACTTGTATACTTCTGGCAGGATTAGTATTAGATTCAACTAGGAACTTACTCTCATACATTGTGATCACTGATCTGAATAAACCTTGATTCTAGTTAACTATTTCTCTGTCTCATTCATATAAATCACTAAAAGAATCAGCAACTCATGCTTCTGCTGCCTTGTAGAGGTTGTTTGGAATCAAAATCTCCTGAAGGTTGTGCAGTTTACTTATTAGATCATGAACTCGCGTATCTACTCTTTATTGTTAAACTTTGTTTACTTGCTCCTACCCACCTCCCAACCACAACCAAACCAATGAAAGGTTTTAAGGAAATATTAATGGCTTAGTCTTGCCATTTGGCTTAATGTTTTCTACCATTTTCTACACAAGTATTTGACTTTTACAAAGTAGGCTCATTATTACCTGACTATTATTTTAACATCATTGACTAATTTGTACCTACAGTTCTTCTTCCTATATCTTAATACTTAGTTACAATAAAACTAATGTCTTTCCCAATTCTTTTAACCTTATTCTTTACGCTATCCATAATTTATAGCAATTTGCCTTCCCATAATGCAATTGGTGTCCATCTGAGGTATTTCTAATAGAAAACTTTTCATTAAGCTACCTAGGTGATTTAATACATTTCATATTATCACAAATGTACATGTAACTTGTGGCTTCTATATATACATACATACATACATGCATGCATACACACACGTGGACACAGCTCAACCCCAAGTGGCAACAGATGTCCTAAAGATTGCATTCAAGCATCAAATAGACTTGGTGTTCACCTCAATGTCCACTTTTATATATATTTTGACGTAACAAAGTTTCTTCTACTGAGGGGGTTTGGTTGGCTTTTGAACTCTTAAAACCATTTATTTTCCATTCAACATCAACACTTGACAAGACACCAGAAGTGTCAAAACAAAATTGCAAATTTTGTAGTGATTTTATAACATGCATGTTATAAATTTGAATATATATATATATATATATATATATATATATATATGTGTGTGTGTGTGTGTGTGCACGCTTTAGTACAAAGGTTGCTGGCAGAAACATACAGAAACGTTCTATACTGGTCATTATTATATGCTAGTTTATGCATACTATCAAATTTAAGTAATTTTGTAATTGCATTGGCTATATTTTCTGCTTGAGTAATCCAGGATTTTTATCTATGCAATTAATTATTGCAGCAATCTATTAGAAGCTTGATTTTCCAAACTTACCAAAGAGATATTCCATTATCTTATTAACACAAGATATATTTACTTATTAGCATAGAGTAATATCTACTGTTACAATGACAGCATTACATCTCAAATAAGAGAAATCAAGATACATGACCAATAAAAATCATTTTTGATTTCTATTACAGAAATATATCTTTAACATAAAGACTTATCACTGTTTCTTATAGTATTATTAATAATGTTAGATAAAAATAAATATTATTGATTTTGGACCCGAAGTGTCACCACCACGAATGACCCAGTCACAAAAGTAGAAGATCTTGATTTTCATATAAGTTTAATGAAGTTTCCAGACGCAAATCCCTAAACATACTCACAACAGCAAAGAACTAATGTCTATCAGACTTAGTTCAAAATGAGAATAGGTTCAGGCACCCTATGAACTATGACCAGCCTGAAAGATTTCAATGACATATGCTAGTCAAAAAGTAATTATACATACTCTATCATTTTAATTGCTTAACAGTGTTTTCAGTACCCATTTTTTTTCTTTTTTAACATATTTCATTGTCTGCCTGTTTGCAACTTAATTCATCTATGTTTAAATTTTTAATGAACTAAATTGAACATTTTATATAAAAATCCTTCTTGTGCATAGAAATAATATTGAACTTTAAAAAAAAAAAAAAAAAAAAAGGACTTACTTGCAACATAAATTTGTCTTCATCTGTCAAAACACCAGCTGAGGACTTCGTTCTTTCGTACTCTTTATAAGCTTTGAACTGAAGATAAACAAATTGTAAGGCAAAAAATTATAAGTAAACCAAAGTTGTCTTAAAAAAAATGTTTCAGGGGGTAGAGTATTTCTGGTAGAGTTTATCAATCATTATCATAATGTCAGAGAAAGAAATATATTATTACTCTTACTTTAGCAATCAGTATTCTCTAATAAACAAATACCAAAAGGAAACAGTTTTATTTGTAAATATAAACAAACCAACCAAAAGCAAATCCTAGATTTTCATATAACAAATTTAAAATAGCAACAAGCATTTAGGGATTTAATAGTTTTATAATTAATCCAGTTACCAAATCATAAGAAATAAGATATGCACAAACATAAGATTTAAGATCTTTTTAAATTTCTTTTTTTCATTGTCAAATTTAGCATGCCAAATTATTTTTCAATTTAAAGATATATAAGCAGTGATTAACCAACCAAATGTCAAACTAAACAATAATATTTCTAAAATAATTCCGTCATTATCGCCTTAAAAAAAAAGGTAAAGAAAATGTTGATTTCTTATCACCAGTGTATTTTTGGTTTTTTTTTTGTTTTTTTTTGCATAAAAATTGTTAGATTCCTGGTAAGCATTCATGTATAAGAAAAATTATGTTCTTTCAGCAATAAGATTGAAGAAAACAGTTTGGCAGAGACAGTATCTGGCTATGGAAAACTCAATATGAATATCATTCAGCAATATTACAGTAAAAACAGTCTCAGTGCAGGCCTTGTAATTCAATTATCAAATTTCACTATCTGAAGCTAAGTACTAAAAAAGCCATATTGCTCAGGTAGAAAGTAAGGGAACTGGAACAAAATCAAAATTGCATTATATCAAATCTATTGGATGCAATTTAAGTAAACTACAAAATTTCTATCCCTATTCAACAATCAACTGTATCTAAATGAAATGAGAGTTTAACACTTCATTGTATAGAAAATGTCATCAGCAAATCAAGTTCAAATTCCAAGTTTAGATGAGGCAGACTGTGCTTACTTTATAATAATGCCCTTAACGCAGGTCAGTAATTACTCTGCTGCTGGTACCACAGCAACCCAATACAATCTAGTATTACCAAGTAACTACTATTACCACAAGAAATGTCAACACGGACACAGCATAGTAGTAGGCTATAAGATGATTTCATTTTAATTTAATCAGAGTCTTAAATTAGTAAATATGTCAAATTATTATTCATTTTTGACCAGTATCTTATTTCTATTGCTTTTTTTTTTTTTTTTTTTAAATCAGTTTTACAATTGTCAGTCATTAGAATCATGGGACAGAAATAAAGAATTAGACTTCTGTGAGATTCAAAGTCACAGCTCTTTTCCTCAGAAAGTTTATCCAGGGCAGCTACCTTATCAATTAGGCCACAAAGACTAAGTGGATATAGAGGCTCAAATTTAACTATATATCCTTCATTTTTCCATGAACATTTAATATACTACTACTAGAAGTATTATTTGAATTTAAGAGATGTATTATCAGTTATTAATTTCATTTCTGTTGGTTTTTATCAGAACTCAAACCATCATACACATGTCATTAGTAAAGAGTACTAATCAAAAATAAAGAGTACGTTTGTAATGTTTTCAAAATTGCCAGAGTAAAGAGAGTGAATGCTTCCTACTACAGTAGGACTAATAATCAATTCAAGCATTTGGTGAAATCAAAGTCACTGCAAGATTCAGACATCTAAGTTAAATGAGACTTTGCAGTTGCCCTTCAGATATTCATTACAGAAGGTTAGCAATTAATCAATTTAAAGCATATGATTCTATTTACATCATCAATGCCAATAAGCTACACAAGAGGTCATTAAAAGCAACAATTATTCTATCTTTTTCATGACAATTGGGTGTAATCAAAAATTACATAAATAAATAAATACAACTCTAGCCATCTTCCAATAAATCATAACCAAAATGCTCTTGCACTGCAGCATACCTGACTGATGATGATGATAGGGACATAATTGAATGGCCAATGATGAAGACATGCTGTCATTGCACATCAGCAATGATAATTTTTGTCTGCATGCAAAATATTATGGATTCAGGAAAGAAATAAAAAAGAAAAATATTATTGTCTAGTCAACTGTATATTAAGTACTATTGCTTCAAGTGATGAAACTCACTTCCTTGTTGATAAATTTTTATATGCCATACATTTTCCCTTGCAACCTAAAAATCTGAAAAAACAACTTACTTCTGGATCATTTGGCAAGATTGTTAAGAGTATGTCAACCATATCCAAATTCAATCTTTGTAGGTCCAACCTGCAAGTACAAAAAGATCTTATCTGATCTTCAAAAACTTTCAAAAGTATACACTTAACCTATTCAGTATGGATGACAAGAATTTTCATCATTGCAGTTATTTGGTTCATGCAGAGGGTGGTCATTTCTGACCCAGTTAATAATGTAATAAAGAAAACTAAACTTCTCATAGCTTAAATATAAATCAGAATCTACAGATTTTCAGACAAGTTCAACTTTTCAAGCATTTAAATTAATGCAGTTCTAAAATAATTTTCCTGAAAATGACTTTATAAACAGAAGTTTAAAGTTAATTTTTTCTAAACTATTTAATGAAAAAGTGTATTCTGACATGAGATATGTTAAAGAATTTTCATACATACATGACAATAGCTTTAACTATTTCGTCATTTGACATTTCAATCTTCCTTCTTGTTATTGCTAAAATGGAAAAAAAAAGAAAATTATAAAAGTGGAACATTTCCTATGTTATAATTCAAAATAAGATCCATTTAGCTGATGTTTTAATGAGCAGCAGATTTTATTAACCATTTGAGACAAAAATCTTACATTTAATACTTAAGCACTTGAAACTTTTTCTCTCTTTTTTTTTTTTTAAACAATGATGTTTGCTCTGTACAAGGTCTAAGATCCATTCAATGTAGAGGGTTACAAAGTAAGAGGCAGAATTTATGGGGTTATGTAGGGAAAATAACGGTTAACCCTCAACTTGTATAGGCTAAGACAGTGTTGGTGATTTATTCTCTTGGGATTCAGTTGCGGGAAGAAGCTGTTTGAAAGGAACATACAGCTCATCAATAGAATACAAAGGGAATCAGGATGGTTCACTACATTGTGTGTTGCATGGCAGGTTTTAGATGTGAAGGTTAGAACTGATGGAACTAATGAATGTAGTTCACCAGTACACTACTCATGGAAATAGTGATAGAACAGAAAGAGGCCTGCAACCTTTTGTCTGTGGGAAAGGACTTATAGGGTGGAAAATAATTCATCACCCACAAAGACATGGATATACTTTTAGACTATTGAGACTAGAAAGTGAGGACTGGGAAGCCCCTGCTCAAATATGACAGCATTATTCCATTTTCAGGCTGATCAGGCTCTTGTAACAGTAGAGGTAGCAGAATGGGTCAGGTACTTACTGGAGCAGTATAGGAAACCGACCATTTTTCCAGCATCTTTGGTGATGGATTATATGTACAAGTACCACTTGAGGTCTGAGTTGAATTTAAGCCCCAATAGACACTCAAAGTAACCCATTCATCGTGATAGATGAAAATTCAGGGTCTGCTCATTGATGATGGAACATCACTAGTTCGGTTTTCATCACATTGAATATAACCAGTCAGTCCCCACAACCCACCGAGCTGTTGAAGCTAGGTCAGAGGAAAGACCAGCCACCACCTTCTGGTCATCTCGAGTTTGGAGGTGCACCCATCAACCATTGTATCATCAGCATAGACAGTCACAAATGATCAGTGTATACTCTTAGGAAAATAATTTATGTAATGTAGAAAATGTTCAACCGAGAAGCAAGCTCTGGAAGATGCCTGTGTTAATTGCTTGGGCCTCAGAGGACTGGTTGTTAACAACTACCTTCAGGGACCTAATCATTAGGAATTGTTATTGTTGATAATTGACAAGACTCTTCTAGTGATTCTATAGCTAGAGAGCTTGTGCAATAACCTTCAATGCTACATCTTGTCAAAGGCCTTTTAAATATCTAATGCGATTGTCCTGGAGATTGTCTAGTGCCTCACTGATTCTGAGTAATGACAGGATATCAGCAGTAGACCAAACCGATCAAAATTTATACTGCTTGTCACTCAAGAGGTGATTAACAACCTCTTATTGATTATAGCTCCAAAAAGTTTCCTAAGACTGAGGAGGCTGATGGGTGTATACTGAGATGAGGGATGAGTGGTTAAATAATTTCACTAAGATCAGAGATAACTCTGGGTTAATATTCTTAAGGACAACCACTGACATTTTATATGGTTCAATAGCCTTCTTAGGGTCAAGACTTTTGATCTTTGTCATCTAACATTGAATTAGAGGTAAAGATCTTGGCAAAGAACTTTGCCTTAACTGACGAGAATGGCCTCTGAGCCATTTATAGTAGATGCTTTGCCTCTATTCAGAATTTGGTTAAGATCTTGCAGAACTCCCAGGATTCAAGTTGTTTGCTTTCAACCTTGACCACTTGCACATATCTACAGTTTTCATTTTCTAGAACTCTTTTGCAATGATTACTGACAGTTCTGAATGCAGCAAGTGGTCTACTACACTATACCCTGTGATAGATATTGTAGTAGTAATAGTAGTTATGTGAGCTATGGTTGCAGTACATTCAGGGGTGAACCAAGGCTGACTGGTTTTTGCTTGAACTTTTCTGGAGTATAAAAAGATGAGGGCAGCAGTTTTGGGGGCAGTATGCTTGAAGATGGTTGAGAGAAGAGCTGCTGCCACATAAGATCTGAAGCTGTCCCAATCAGCTTTCATGTACTGAAAAATAGCTCTTTGGAACAGAACATTAGAAGATGACTTTGGTTTGGCATCAATTTTGACACTGAGAAATGGAAAACCCTAGGTATTATGCTACTTTTTCATGTCCAAGGAAATTGGAGGAGGAGGTGGGGGACAAGGGAAATGAAGCACTAACCATGACTTTATGGTAGATTAAATTAGTGACATGCAACAATTATGGATTCCTTAGTTTATAAAATCCACCATTTCAACTAAAGCCATCATCAAAAGGCAATGATATTTTTCTACATACTTATAATTATTTCTTTGCAAACAGATCATCAATATAGAGTATAGCACCAGTTGATAATGGCATACAAGTATAACAGCCATCAAAGTACTGTCAACATTAGCAGGTTATCTCTTGAAAATTATAAATTTTATATAATCATACAATATTAAATTTGTAAAATATAAAAAAAAATAAAAAATATTTATAGAACAGTTATTAAATAAGAAAAAATGAACATTAACAAATGTTTCACTATTTGACTACAGTTATTAGTTCTATAAAACTATACATCACTTTTAAATTATGTATATGACATTTAGGAGGTATGGTGGAGTAATGGATAGCAGCTTGGATTGAGAAATCGGAGAGCAGAGTTCAAATTCTACTCAGATCCATTCACTTATGTCCTAATATCCTTGGGAAAGATATGAATCCTCCTCTTCTCCCCCAGCTATGGGTAAATAGCAAGACAGACCAGGTTCTATAGCTTTGGATGGCAACTGGTCAACCACAGAAAGAAATGGCAACCTACTGCAAGAAAAAATCTGCTGCATCAGTCATGTATCAAAAGACACATGATCGCCTTGAGTGTGTATAACGCATGGCACATAACTGACTGATATGACATTTTGTATTAAGAAATTTAAATCAGTGGTTAAAGGTTATTAAAAAGGAAAATATTTTTAAGGGAACTATAAATAAAGCTGACATTTTAAACCCTGTAAATAACTTACCAACATTCCGTAGTCTATTGGGTTCAAGGAGACTAATATTTTCTGGTTTTTTCAGCTTCTTGAGCAATTTAGGAGTCCCCTCAGATGGATCCCGGCTAAATGGGCCGGCAGGCCCCAGGCGAAAGAGTTCTTCAAATTCTTGGAAATCTATCACCTACAAAGACAAAGTATCTCAATGAACAAAAATAAATATGAGAGAATTTTGCAAAGAATCAAAAAAGAGTATCATAATCATTCTGTTTACGTCTTGCCAATTTTTTGATCTTTTAAGATTAATTGTTCTAGAGCTATATTAAAGAAAAAATCCATAGAAAAAGTTTTGTAATGATTCTAAAAGACTGAAGAGTGATCTAGAAGACTGTTTCTAGAAATTGAATGAGGCTTAACTGACAAGATGCCTCTATTGAAACAGTTTCAAAATTAACATTTTAATTTGCCACATAAATTGAAATTAGTAAATGATAAATTAAACAATCTGATTTTTACAATATATTTAAAAACATACATTCATTAAATGTTGAGATAAAAACACTAATATATGTTAATACTGAATTTTTAAATTTTAAGATGAATAGTGAATTATGCAATTAAAAAAAAAAAAAAAAAAAAAAAAAAAAGTGCACACTCACAGCCATCAACCTTTCATCATCTAGATCTGAGAAGATGGTCCCTTTCACTTGCTGGGGTTTGAGAGGTGTCCAATTTAACAGGGGGAGTCTGTATTTTGACTGGATTTTTTTCTTAATGGTCATGGCTGAAATAACCAGATAACATGATTATTTACAAATGATGCTTGATGAAAAAAAAGTTTAAAAAATATGATTATTTTATATTTGCAGCAATTAATTCATATAACAGATGTGCTTGAATAATACATTTTACAAACTTTTATAAATGCCTTACACTATTAATTTCCATCAATTTTCTTACATTCCAAAAAGTACTCCATATATAAAAAAGCAAAATCCCATGTCCAACAAAGAAAAAGGCAAATAAATCTATTTAGTAATCATTTATATGGCAATATATTCCTCAACTATTAAACAAAATAGAAATTTAAACCAATGGCTTTTGATACCTATTTTACAGTTTGTTAATATGTAATACTTTAAATATAAAAACAAAAGGAATAAGCCAGAGCAAAATGCAAATCCAAGAATATAACTTTAATATAAATTTAATCAAAACAACATTATGTTGATAAATATTTAGACAAAATGAACATCTAGGTCCCATGTAACTTCAGGACATGGGTGATAACTGTCTCCCTTTTGTAGCTCTTAGTAAAGTTGGTCTTATTGTTATTTCTACTATCCATTTAGACAAGCTGGGTTACTTGCTGCTTTGCTCTGTTCTTGCCTTCAATATGTCCTGTGAGTGTCAAATTTTCCAGGCCCTCTTCATGTGTTCTAGAAATTTCAATTGTCTAATTCTAAGCACAATTATCCTCTTAGTTTCCATTTTCCCTAAAATATCATTAATCACATGTTCAATTCATGATATTCTTAGCATTCTTTTGAACAATTGCATTTCTGTTTCCTTAAGACTCTTCATCTATGAAGACATTTCTAACATTTACTGCCATATAGGAGTACTGATATTACATAACAGTTTAGTACTCTTGTTTCTAACAAAATTTTCCTGTTTCTTAATAGTTTGTCTAGCTTTTGGAAGGCATTTTTCACTGCCTTCAGATTTCAGTATCACATTTTCTGTCTTCCCAAATATTTAAATTCACATACTTGCTTGATTTTGTTATCTCAAATTTGTAGTTTGCATCTGGGGCTGTTCCTCTTACTGACAACCATGTCTTTTATATAATAAATGCGAATGTCAGTGTGTCACAGTGCCACACTTTATTAACTTTACACCTAGAGGCCGTAGCTCAACATATACCATTCTGGAATCAGGCAGACTCCATAAGCAAATTAAAAACATTCCAAGATGAATCCAGACTCACAATCCTGAAATTTTGGATTCCCAAATTTTCATTACTGTAATTGTTTTTGCCAATTTTTTTGCAACAAATTTTTTTGATAATTTTGATAATAATAATTTTCATAACTTGGAAATAAATTTGGGAATAATCAAAATTGCAAAATCCAGCAAATGTCACCCATGAAATAAAAATAACTGTTTGTACAGAAAGTACATTGTCTTTAAATTAAGTGGCGGCAGAAGAATTATTGTTGTATTTTTGAAAGGTAAGCTTAAATATTAATGGAATATTTAAATTCAGTGATCAATTTTCAGTTCTTATGCAGTTTATTGTTGCCTATCACATCTACTCCTCCTAACCTATTGTGATGAAGGCCCAATCAAAAGTCCCCCACAGAAGCTACCTTAAATGCCATTTGATAGGGCGGCTTTTAAAGTAGTATTATAATTGATACTTAGTCCTTTCCTCTCATTTTATCACCTTCTGTGGGAGTTCCTGCAGTTTCCATTCCACCTTTGCTATTAACACTGTATCATCTGCATATCTTATATTGTTAAGATTATGTCTACCAATAAGAAATCCTTGTACGACTTTGTTCTCAGAGGATTACTTTGCTGTAAAGGCTGAATGAGTAATGTAAAGACAACCTCATATCTCCTTATATTTTTTATTTACTAAATTAATTTTTTGTTTGTATGCAGGCAGTTTGTTTTCAGTATATAGATTATATCTTTCCTAAATAGGTCAAGCTTACCTTGCAGTTCAAATAATTCTTTGTGCCAAACCTTATCAAACACATTTACATAATCTATAAAAAATAGTTATGCATCAGTCTGCATTTGCATTGTTCTATCATTCTAAGCATATCACATTCCCTATTCCAGTGTTTTTAATGAAACCACACTGCTCTATTCACCAGAATTGAGATAAGTTTTATTATATGACTAATTAGGTTGACTGTATGATGAAACCCACATTCATTTGCACATAACTATTTTTGGCAACACTATGAAAGTGGATCTAGTAAAGTCTTCCAGTATATTACCATTGCTGTAAATTGAATTATTTCTGTCATTTTGTTAATGCCAAAATCTGGTCCTGCTATTTTGTTCTTGTTCATCCTGACCAGTGCTGATGACACTTCAGACTTTAAAATTTCTGGTCATTCCATAAATTGTGCCAATAGAATTTTGCTAGTCCATAGCATTAGGTTAAAACCAGAGAATAAAATTTGCTTACTGCTACAAATTCTCATGGTTTTAATTCATGGGTAACAAGCTAGCCAAAGGGTTATTTCTAAGCCACAAGCATTTGACTGTAAGAATCTGCACCCCGAGAGTGAACCTGTTGTCGGGTCTGAGCTGCAACACTACATATTTTAAGTGTTTACTTACCTGCTGTATTTTGTTCATTTCCAGCCGATGGGGGTGGTGGAGGTGGTGGTGGTGCCCCCATCATACGGGGTGGGGGAGGTATACTTGAAATTGGTGGTGGAGGTGGTGGTGGGGGAGGAGGTGGGGGAGGAGGTGGTGGTGGTGCTGGTGGCGGTGGACCCAATTTCTCAAGCTGAGACTGAGTTGGCAATAAATCTGGAGTCTCTGAAGAAACAAAAACACAAGTAAAAATGGTGGATATTAAGAATAGTTGTTAAATCATTTTGTTACAGTCATATTATAGCACAATCATTTCTCAAGGATTACTGAAATCAAATCAGAAATTAAAAGTTATTAGAAAATGTAGAACTTAATATTGTGTCAAGTTAGAACTGTTTGACCTAAAACTTACACCCAAGAGCCGAAATTGCATAAAGTGTTGTAGTGCTTATTTTCTTAGAATAATATGAAATTTTGAAAGCAAGGCAAAAATTGTTTGTATTGTTTGTTTTCTATAACTAAACTCCACCTATAGCAAAGATGTAAAGACAAAACATAAAATACTGAGTAAACTTTATCACAATTCATATAAATTCTTCTGTATTACAGGATAGGAAATAAAGATATTTATTATATACATTGAATCTAATATTTCCAAATTTTCATCATACATACATTTTTTCTTACATAGAAATTCTTGAAATTATACAAATGAGTTTAATATACATAAGAGGATGCTGAAAATTTCTCAAAAACCAAACATCAGAATACTGATTTTCATAAATGGACCATGGCCAAAATTTCACCCCCTTGATTTTCCAAACAATATAGTTAGTAATGTGGAGTTGGTTTTATATTTTAATCTTCAATCCAGGTAATAAGATTACAAATAAATAATTATAAGTAAAAGTTATTGTGAGTGAGAGGTTACTGAAGAAAATGGATGATTGTTGTAAGGAGAATTTGATAGAAATTTTATGGTAAGTTTTAAAATCTTTTTCTTTTTAATCCAACTTTTGTATAAAATTTCACAAATGAAATTAAAGTGAAAATTAATTTCATAGCAAAAGAATCAATGACCTGTCAAATGATCATGCAAAAACTTGAACAAAACCAATTATCAAAGCATCACTGTAAAAAGCAAAAGAAAAAATATTTTCCCCATAGTTCATATTTTAAGTAGTAAAATTTGTTGCCATTCAATAATCATTATCATAATAATGACACTAGATTTAGGAAAAAATCCTGAAAAACTTAGGGCCCAAAATGTCTAGTTATAATTTAATACATAAGATTAAAAACCATGTTCCTTACATTAAAATGGAACAAGAAAAAACACTTCAAATAAATCTCATTCTATATTATTCCTTTTATATTTTTAAAAAGATAAGCTTAAAAATTATCTGCATTGTTAAATACAGAAAAAAAAATGCAACATTGACAAGTAACAAAATTTAATTTCATAAGATGAAAAGATTTCAAAGAAAAAGTGAAAGATAATATAAAGAAAGCATGCAGGCATATAAAAAGAGCATGCAAAATTGAAACAAAAAAATTAATTTAACAACAAAAGGTCTGTGTGCAACAGAAGTGTTTCCACAAGGTTCAAAATGTTCAATATTGAATGGCAAAGTGCTCATTACAGGTTATTTTCAGAACTTAATATTCAAGTCTACCATATTTATTATGAAGCTATTGCACTTAAATGTAGATGCTCTGCTTTAAAACCCTTAAAAGATGCCTGACTAGATCTTACAGTATATCTTAAAAGCATTTTTGTTTTAGCTGACATTAAAAATTGAAGACAAAACAACAGATACATACAAATTCAATTCTGATATTAGAATTGATTAAAGTACAGCAAGACAATATAAACATCCAAATCCCATCTGTAGCATCCACATCAATTCAAACATTCATTAGATAGAAAACTGGACATCAATACACAAAATCTAAGTGACCAAATCACAACACCAATAAGTAAAAATAAATAAAATCTCTCTACACTAGAGGTATGGATCCAGAACTCCATTCATATTCTCATATCAAAATGAACTTTGCCCACTTGCATATTATTTAAAGTTGGAGAAACAGCATAAAAATAGTATATTTTAATTAAACACATTTTTCAATTAAACTATCGTCATGATTTTGCTTTATATTACCTGAAAGATTATTTCTATAAAAAAAAAAAAAAAAAAAAAAAAAACTACTTCCTTGCTTGCAATAATGAAATAAATTAAAAAAAAAAAAAAAAAAAAAAAAAAATGAAAAGTGTTTTAAATAATTTTTTTTTTTTTAAAATCTTCATAATTATGAAAAGTATTTCTAGATTAAGTTTTACAAATGACTATCCTAAACTTTCTCATTTACATAAAATATAAACTATAAAAAACAAAACAAAAGGGAAGCTTATCTAAGAACAAAATTCAAAACTTCTACAATAGAAACTGTTGTAGATTTTGAAGCTACTAAAATGGTGATATTTTATACAAAATTTTATAAACTGTTTCCTCTTTAAATTCAATTTTAGTGAGCCAAATTCATTTCACTTTTTTTAATGAGACAATGAATTAAGTCTGCGATCCATACTTACCTTGAAGAGAAGACCACAGTTGCATTACAGCTTCCGAGGCTTCACCTAATGGATTAAAACCAGGTGATAACTCAATAAAATTGTATGATAGCCTTTGGAAAGCAATTAAATCAAGCTGGGTATGTCAGAGAGACAAAAATTTGACTGTGATCAAGTGCTATACTAGATGTTATATAGAACAACTGCATAGTAAATTAGATCAAATTCTCCTATATTCAACAAGGACTGAATTCTATTTCAAATTGTGCATGGGTAATGTGATAATCAATATCACAATGAATATTTATTTGAAACCAAATTTTATTTGACTAAAAGGCAATGACATACAAAATTATTAAAAAAAAGAAAAGGATCAAAAAATTTTAAAAACAATCTATAGGAAATTTAAATGTTAGTTTAAAAAAAATTTTTAAACATTACATGGATGTAATAAAAACATGCAGAGAGTGCTACTTTGTAGAAAACCCTCAAATGTTCTTTTTTAATGTAATCTTTAAAAGAAAAAAAAAATGTCTATGTACAATAATCAAAAGTATCATTACTGAAATAGTAAAATTGTAAAAGATTTTCAGTTAATGATAGAAAAATTTAACAAAGCTAATTTATAAATACAAATATGAGGATAATGCTTCAAATCAAAATAAAGCTAATTGGAATTATGTAGATTACTTTTTTAAATTCTGAAAATATTCCTGTCAAGCAAGAGTTTTTTTTTTGTTTGTTTTTAGTAGAAATTGATAAGAGGTCTTGATTTGACATTGATTCACTATGAAATGTAATTTTAAAATGTATAGCATGTATGTAGGCTCTTTAATACTGCATTTTGTTAGCAAAGCATAAAAAATATACAATAAATAATATTCAGTCCGTTTTATTTTTCTTCAAAACTATGACCAATCATAAATGTAGACATTTGTAAGACCATTCATCTGAAATAGCCAATGAGCTTTGAAACAAAGAAACTACACCACAGGGGAGGAAAAAATAAAACCAAATGACAAAGTAAAAATGAGGGTTTTCTTAATGCACATTCCTCAGACAGATTCAACATCTGCACTGAAAGCAACAAACCACTGGAATTAAAAACAAAACGGTGCACAGGCCAAGGTGTATAGTCAAAGTGGCCTGGACAGTTTTTAGGGTAGTGCCCACCTGGGCTGACCTACCAAATGCGTTGTGTTTACAGAAACATATTGGGTTGCTACTCTGTAGTTCTCGGGCTTGAGCCCAATCAGCAGAAAGCACCCGCTTCATCTGGGCTGGTGAGCCATGCATATTATAGGAGCCTGCAATAAATGTCACCAATCGACAATACACAACAATTGCAAAAAGGCTACATTGAAGAAAAAAGAAAGAAAAACAGACAAGGCTGAGTTTATAGAAGAGATCAATGACCTTTTTTTTTTTTCTTTTTTTTTTTAAACATGTTTTTCTTTTTTATTCAAAATTTAATAGTAGCTCCACCACAATAAAAAAAAAAAATGTAAGACTATATACTAAAGTTATAGCTTAAAAAATATAGATAATTCCATCAATTATAAAAAGACAAAATGAAAATTATATAATGGACAATTTTGTTTTCCATCAAAACCTACATAAAATATATTGGGAATGCAGGTAAGGATTTATCCTCCTTTAATTTGACTAGCATTAATAAATACTTACATGCAAGAAAGTATACCAAAAGGATCAATAATATTGGGAGGGTGATTTTAAAACAGATTATTACAGATTCAGTCAAGCTGATATGATTTCACAGTTATGTCCCCCAATTAAAAAAGTAGTTCACAAATACAAGTAACAAATACAGAGGGAAGGAAGAAATATTTGAACACTTGCAAAATATTTCATATGCTTTTATGCTTGCATTTAAATTTATACAGGTGATATAAAAGATGGTGATGAAAAGTTCTCAACCTGAAGATTGATCAAAACATCAGATTTTTTTTTTCTTTTATTCCCTTCTTGATTGGACTGAGAATTTCTAGTTGATATAAAAATCAACAGTTACTGAGGAAAAAAGTACTTATTTTCAAATATACAATGCAGAATAAGATATAAATAAAAGTAATGGGGGAAAATGTATTCAGACACATTCATATTTTAATACTTGGTTACATAGTGCCACTTTGCAATTACTACTTGGAATTTTTTTTTTTTTTTAAATCCTTTGCATGCCCTTCATAGAATTTTTAAAATCTTCAACTCTTCCATTCAAACAACTTTTAAATTATTAAAATTTCTGGGGTCTTCTGATGAATTTGATCTCTCAAATTTCACTATACATTTTCAAATGTATTCTAGACAGGAGATTGTCTTAGTCACCGATTACTTTTTATTGAAATATCCACCCCTTTTCAAGCTTCAATTGTTGTAGTAAAAGATAACAGATTAGCTTCCAAATTAATTCAGATAGACTGCTGAATTCATCTTTTCCTTCAACCATACCATTAAAAAGAGAAACGTACTGAAACCTTCATACTTTCACCTCTATGCTTTATTATGGTGAAGGTGCTTTTTTTTTCTTCTTTTTATTAAAACCATGAGTATACATATTTTCTATGTACACAACTAGGGTTGATGCTAAAGAGTTCAAATTTCATTTTGTCTGACCAAAGAATATTTTTCAAAAACTATTAGGCTTCTCTAAGTGTTTATTATGCCTCCCCCAACCCTGCCAACAAAAATGTTTTCCATGGTGCATGGAATTCTAAGCCATTCCCGTATACTTCATCATCAATAACTTATTTCAGTAAACAATGACTCGGCTGCTCTTAAATCATCTTGGATATCCTTTCAAATTACCATTATATTTACTTTTTCTTAGTATTTTTAGTTGCCTGTGCAATTTTCTATGGAGGATGAATTCAAATAAAGTTTTTATGGTGGTACCAAACTTCTTCCACTTGAGAATAATTGATTCAATGGTATTGACAGATATATTTAAACATTATTGCAACCATCTTGTAGTCAGAATCCTCATTATGTTGTTTAGGTTGTTCTTTTATTTGGCCAAAAGCTCTTTTGCTTTAACTATGACAGCCTCATTGCAAAAAGGTTAAATAGTAAATTATAACTGTAATGGCATCATACCCTACTTGAGTATTGCTGGAATATTCTATACACACACACACACACACAGCTAGACCAGCATTCTTTAAATAACATTTTTATGATCAATTCTTTTATCAGCAGTTTCCAAATGCTTTTTTCAACCATTACTTTTTATATTTTTTTCTTCAGTAATTTTTAATGTATAAAAAGACATCAAATGAAAACAAACATTAAATATTTTCCAAGTATCAAAATACTTCTCATTTCCACTGTACTGTGCATGGTTAAAATTAATTCAAACCATTTTCCACTCATGTAATAATTATTGTAAATAAGAGCTACAACATAATTCCTTTGATTCCCCACCCCCAATTTCATCTTTTGTCTATTTTCTCAGCTTTTTAACATGAATCAGAGCTCTGAAGTGAAATGTATCCAAATATTACTCAGTTGTATTAGAAAATAGGCTTCTATTAATTTCTCTTTAAAGCACTTTACAAAGATATACTCATATACTTACATCAGTCACTAAAACCAGCCATAATAGTATTCAAATTATAAAATAATTGATACACATTAAATATGGTGATATAAAACAGCTTACCTTCGAGATTTTGTTTAATCAACTCCAATTCTTGGAGTTTAGCATCCAGAAGTGACTGCCGTTTTCTAGATTCTTCATCTTTTTCATTGACTGCTTTTCTTAAAGTGATCATTTCATGTTCCTGAGTCCTAGCCAATTCCTAGTAAAAATAAGAAAGTTACAAATTTGGTGATCAAAAAAAAATATAAAATAAAAGCTCAAAAACTATAAATGCAAATAAAAGGTACTGTTAAAAAATAATATTTATAGGTTTATTTTAAAATTTAATAAAAAATAAACTTTAATTTAAATGATAATGAACAATGACAAATTACAATGTTCTGTTTATCTAGGTGGTTTACACAAAAAACAGAATTGATTATAAAAACTACCTTAAATATGAAAAAGGTGTTCAAATTACAAATGTCTTAAAATATTATTTATCAATTTTACTTGCTGAATTTAATACTAGCTGTGCAGAAAAAAAAGGATACATTTTGGAAAGTGGGGGATAATTGAGAAAATATCTTCTATTAGAGACCATTATAATTGTTCTTAAAAATTTCTAAGCAACATTTCTTTATTTATTGCCATTGAAGAAGGTGAATGTAGCAAAAGTCATTATTGGTTTATAAAGGCAGGAGGCAATCATAACAGCGAATCCCATTTCCTGAAAACTGGCTGCTCTGAAACTGTTAAATTGTATTTTCACTTCACCGAAAAAAAAAAAAAAAAAAAAAAAATCAAAAAGTTAATGGGAGATAACTTTTATATCTGAATAATACTTTTTAAAATTATGTATCATTTTAAAAATTTGTTTATTTATGATAATGGATATTTTTTTTAGCATAAATTCATCACTAAAGTCTTTATCTACGTAAAAATTTTCGTTTTATTCTAGAAATACTTAAGGAGTAAAAAAAAAAAAAAAAATGATAAAAACAAATCCATTTAAATATGCATACATGCATAAATAAATTAAATATTTAAAAATGTCTTCTGTATTAATTCATATTTTTTTTTATTTATATCTTAATCATTTTCTTTATATTTTATTTCTGTTGCCTGAGGGGAAAAAAGTTCCCTGCTTTAACCAATTTCAGTATTAAATAATCCTCTTAAACTTGTTTAAAATCAAAATTGTAAATAACCAACAATCAAATTAACCAATGTAATTTTTAAGCATTATATAATTTAAGAAAAACACCATTTAGTTTTTTGGTGAAATGAACCATTTGACAAAGTGAAGATTTAATTTAACATTTTCAGTAATGCCAATTTTAAACAAATGACATTTACCATTATGGATTAGACTCTTATAAACTAAAATTTGAAGTCTGCTAATGTTATTGGGGCAGCAAAAGCAATCAAATAACTGATGGCAAAAATAAATGTAATATCCAGTACCATGGTTTAGGCACAGAGCATTGTCCCTCAGGTAGCCTTCCCATGCAGTTGAAATAAAGTGTAAAGTTTCTTTTTCTAACCAAAATTATTCTGTATTTTCAGAACTCAGCAACCAAAAGTAACAAGACACTTTGCTTGTATTTCAGTAGTCCTAAAATGATAGCCACCAACTTATGAAAGAATGGAAAGAGTGTATTGCATTGGTATCCTTAGAATATGTAGTTGATGTTGAAGAGGTTTCATAATCAAAATGAGCTTATTAATTTGGTGTCTTGTAACCTGCTGTGATTACATAAATGTTGCAAATTTTCAGCCATAAAATATTTTCTTAGTTTTAATGACAAAGAAAATGCAGGCAAGTAATTTAATCATAAAAATCTGAAATGCTGTACCAAACCAAAAATGTAAAATACAAAACTTGTATAAAAAGTTAATCCTTTTATCCAAATACACTTTCAAATATAACATCATTTTCTAATACAATGAATATTTTCTAACAAAGGGGAATTTTTAGCTATCAATAGAAATTCCCATTAAAACTGAAAAAGCCATTATCAATTCTTGGTATAATTGTATTAATATAATACAGAAGATGTGAAAAATTCACTTAAACTTTAAAATAAAAGTTCACAAATTAAGGGACGTATCATGAAAATGGAAATATTAATGCAAATAGGCCTGAATGGAGATACTTAGTATAAAATCATGTACTATATATATATATATATATATATATATATATATATATATATATATATATATATATATATATATACACACACACCTCACTTAAGTGCACTCTAATTTTTGTTTTACAAAAATTAAGAAAAACTAAGAAATATCAATCCCTTCTTTCAGAACTTTTTGGACTGTTTTTTTATGTTTGAAAATATTAATTTCTTCTGATAGATTGCCTAATCTTCATAAAGCTACTGCTCATGAACAAACTGGTAACTGATATCAACTACTGGTAGCTTACTGATATCTACCGATATGTTTCATTGTTAAAATTGCTACAATTACAATGCTTGAAACACTAAAGTATGTATACACTGTATGGCTACATCAAATTATTCCTATAATCTGAAAGAATAGCAGTTAAAATAAATGAATAAATAAATAAATAAATCTTACCCTAATCTCATCCAAATCTTCATTTGCTTCAGATAATTGTTTTTCAAGTTCAACTGAAATTACAATATACAGAGTATAAAGAGAAAAACCAAACAAAAAAAGTAGAATTTTTATCATTTTTTAACACTCTTAAGTTATAGAAAAACAATCAATTCTTGAGAAAAGTAAAATATTAAGTTTACCTGTTTTAGCCATTGCTTCTTCTTCAACTTCTTGCAGTCTTTCATTCATCTAAGAAGTAAATGTTTATGATCATTTCAATGAAAAAAAAAAAAAAAAAAAAAATGGAAATAAAAACTAAATCAAAAATTGAAATAAATCTAGCTTCTACATTATCTTCAAAGAGTTCTGAATATTTTCAAGCAAAGAATTTCAAACATTTGCATAAGATACTAAAGTACAAAATACGCATCAATAGTTTAATGAAGATTTACCATTTCTTAAAATTTAATGATTTACGTGAAAAGCTATGAATTAAATTTGAAGTTGTAAACACTAATGTAAAGATAAATTTACCACTAATGAATTCTATTATCTTTGATAAATTTTTAGATACAAAACTATCTTTGATTTATTTTTAACAAAACATCATACAACAAATATTTTCCAAGAAACGAATTCTCACATGAGATAACTCATCTTCTAATTCAGCAACTTTCTCAAGAGCTTCACTCTTAGTTTCTGAGTCTTCTAGAAGCTGAGCTACATCAATCATGTTGTCCAAGTAGGCGTGAACCTGCACTGCCAATCTATCACTTTCTGTGTTTTTCAACCTCTGCAGAATAAAAATGTTCCATTGAAACACTAATACTAGAAATGATTGAAAATCTAAATAAAAAGTAAATATCAAAATAGTATCAAAGCATGAATACATATTTCATTTTTAAGAATTAAGTCATCATAATTTTTCATTGAAAAAAAATAAAATAAAATAAATAAAAAAAATAAAAAATGCAAATTAATCATTATAAAAGAAAATTCTTTCAGTTACAATATTTAATAAAACAATACACATTGTCTAAACAAGTTTTGGGGTCAATAGAAAAGATGTCATGTCAATTTTAATTCATATTTCAAATTTAATGTATTGTAGGGTTGTAAGTATGAATTTGAAATTGGGAAAAGATATTTTACAATATAAATCATTTTCAGCAAAAATTTTATGAATAAAAGCAAATTTCCATCAATTTTACAAATGAAATTTTCAGGGATTATTTCTTGTTTGATATTAAGCTGTTGAAATATATGCAATATTTGCAATGCAATGATAGATTCACAGATTTTTCAATGCACACCTGCAGTAGCTTTGATTTTAAGTGCATCATGCCACCATCCAGTAGGGAGAATTTTTTAAATATTTCCTGAGACATGCATCCCCTTCTTTGAACATAAAGAACAAGAAAAAAAATGAATCAAGAAAACTGATGCATTTTTATTGCAGCAGTTCTTTTTACAATCTACAATGAATGCTTCTACAAAACTTAATGTTGCAAAAATGTCCCTAGTAAAATGTTTCTCTATTAATTTATATTTTATTTGTTTTGGATGGTCATAAAAATACTTCATTTAATTTGGTTATTTATTAATTTGAATAGCATAAGGTTTGTTATAATTCAGTCTTAAATATGAAAAAATGTTTTTTGTCTATACATTATTCAAGTAACTTATAATGGCTCATTAAAAAAAACAAAAAAACATCGAAACAATAGTTACTTATTAAAAATCATTCATTCAATACGCAAAATATTTTTTATTTAACCTATAAACTTTAAAAAAAAAAAACATGGATTTTATACATATTCAAACATTGTTTCAGGACAGTACATTTATAAAATAAAACAGTACTTTATATGTTGATAATTAAGTAAGGTAAATTTTCTAGCAGAAAATGGATTTTCTCATTTACTTTCATGATTGAATTTGAGTAGAGCAGGTAAGCCAACAATTACCAATATTTTTTTTTTTTTTTTGCATGCAGAATTGCCAGAAGCTTAGGAAACAAATCTCAAAGCCTAAAATGACATAAGGCATTTTGTTTTTTAAGATTATTTTTCCAGTAACATACGGAGTAATGTGACTACTTTAAAAGATTTTTTTTGTAGAGAGCACACATACAGAACAAAGTTTTTGTTTTTTTTCTTCTCTCCCCACCCCAACTTTTTGAGAGAGTTTATCACTTTCTATGCTCATAACTAGTTTTTAGATAACTTATTCTATGGGAATTTTTTTGTTAAACTTTTCTTGCAAAATGAAAGATTTAAATCAGAGAATCATTCTTACCTCCAAATAGTCATCCATTCCTATTTGTGTGAATTCATGTTGTAAATGGACCCGGAAATTCATGTTGTCTACAGAATGAACAACAATGTTTACAAACTGCATACATGCTACCTAGAGACCAAAAAGAAAAAAATCTTATGTACTCAAAATATTAAACTAATGTGTCGAAAATGAAAATTATTACAGCAGTTGCCAACACACCGACAACTGACAAACACAGTCATCTAATAAACTTAAATTGTACTGTCTACAAGTTTTCCACACTCCAATAGCCAACTGAACAACTGTCCTTTTTTGTTATCATCTGCCCAATCAAAAACAAATCCTCATTTCATCTAGTGGCTGCCAAATGCTTCTCTGCCACCTGTCAAACACCAAACACTGTTCTTTCTTACTACACTGCCTCCTGACCACAGCACCAACAACAAGGGGGTGATCATTTTTGTCTGGTGCTTCTTTGTTGGGAAGGGGCTTCATCTGTCTTGACCTGTGCTGGAGTCTTGAATGTGTGTAAGTTTATCTCCTTTATTGTTCCTTGAGTTTTGCACAGAAAACTTCAAAAGAAACTTTCACTTTTTTTTTGTTTTTAACTTGCATGGCTGCCATCTCTGATGAGAAAACTAATTTCTTGAATACATTTGTTTAAAATAGATCCAAATAAAATTCTTTCTAATTTTAATTAGTTTCATAAGAAAAAGCTTGAAACATTTTTTTCAACTAAGACTTTCCAGTATCAGAAACTAAGCCTGTACATTTCCACCATTGTTTCAGAAACTATAAAGGTGAGTAGGAATAAGATTTAAAGAGAATCAAAAATCAGGTTTCATCAATCCAAACTCTGAAAATAAGTAATCATTCTGTTCAATTTAAACTTAAAACTGGTCTTTCAGCAAAATAGCTAAAATACACTCCTGCATTTCTGTCCGCCAACAATCAAGACACTGTAACAAAGTTATATATTTACTATTAGCATTCTTTATCAAAAATAAATAAACACACAATAAAAGATTCACAAACTCGACACACTAAACAAATACTCCTCAGAGGTTTTCTCAAACAAAAGCTCAAATTTAATAGTCTTACCATTTCTTTAAGATGGTTTAAAGAATAAAAGATATCAATGTTCACATGCCCAGTTACTAAGTTCATTTTTAAATCTATAAAACACGGCAATCTTAAAGAGAAATGGCAGATTAACAAAATCAAATAAAAAAAAATACTTGCCATGAAATCTATGTGAAATTCTTCATAATTTCTAAAGTACTCCATCAAAGTATCAAAACGGTGCCGTTCATTACACACCTAAAAATAAACATTTAAAAGAAAAATTATTTACCAATTCAGTTAAAAAATTATTGGAAAAAAATATCCAGTATTAATCCTTTAATGTTAATAATCTTTATTTACTTTGTAGTAAAATTAAAGTAAATATTTCTTTCCTATCCAAAAGTATATTATTCCTTTTCATTTTATAATAAATTTCAAAATTCTGGATGACAAGCAATATATTGAATACCATTACTAACACGTAATACAGTAAACATTTTACTACAAATTCTATAAATTAAATGAACAGCTAAGTACATAGAAGGCTTCTTTTAAAAGGTTTAAAAGATGTGTGCTAAGTCAGAATGCAAAATGAATTAAAATGGTATACAGTAGTTAACTTACCTCTTTGAAATTGTCAAATGCTGAGAGAATAATTTCATGCCCCCCACTGACTAGACAAACAGCAGCAAGTAGCTCTAATACTAAAGCTTTGGTCCTATAATGAAATGTGCAAGAACATCTTCAGTTAAGAGAATAATAATGAAGATTAAATTAAAAAAAAGCACATTAAAAAGAAATCTGAAAAGGAATAATGCAAAACAGATGAATGAGAGTGAATATAGTCTGTTCATATTAAAATATTCTAAACAGGAAAAACAATGGTTAAATGTTATATTTTTCAAATTAGTTTTTGTAACAGTTAGGCTCGGTTTATGTTATTGCTTACAATATAACAAACTGAAGTGCCTAAAATTTAAAGACAACTTTCTAATGTGCAGCAACTCTCTTCACTTTAACACTGGCTGCACAATATGGCATTGGGTCTATAGGGTGCTGGAGTCACTGTATGGGTATATCTTCCCAATCATGTTCTAAGGCTTTCCATAATAGAATTGTGTTTATTGGATGTGGATGCAAGGAATTTGGGAAAATTTACAGCATACTCAATGGCGCTTAAATCTGGTGAGTACAAGATACCTGAAAGTAAGCAGAGTTTCCCCAGAACCAATTTCATACCATTTACATATGATTGGAAGAGGATTCTTTTATCTTGTTAGAACAAGCCATCACAACTGGGAAGCATTGGTAAGGATATAGGGATGCAAATAATCTACAAGAGCTATACGCGTTATACCCGTCAAAGAAACTCCAATTTTACTAGCAGTCCTTGAGAACTCCAACACATCTCAAGGACACATGGCACAGTGGATAAAGGCGTTGGTTAGTTCCAGTGACAGGACCCAAAGAGTGTGAGTTCAATACCCGGTTAAGGCAGTGGAGAACTTTCAGAGGGAAATTAGCAGGAGATAACTGATATCTATCAAACATGGCACATGGAACTAGAACAGTCTACCCCAGTGAGCGAAATAAAGGGTTCAGTTCGAAATTCCAACCACCTGAAGAAGGCCAAAGCATACAACGGCCGAAACAACATTGTGATAGATATGGCGACAAAGATGAGGACAATAGTCCGAATAATGTAAATAATGTACATCTCAGTTAATTACAGAGCCATTACCAGAGCTCCAGACTATCATTTTTTTTAACATAGTTCCAAGAATCATCACAGAAAACAACTTTAATTGTCCCAAAAAAATTTTAAACCATCCAAAAATCAAAATTCTTTTTAAAACTTTGTTATCTATAGTTGTTAGTAGGATAATTTAAAAAAAAAAAAAAAAAAATCATCAGTGGTTGATTCAAATGAGTACAAGAGCTTGACTCAGCAACCCACCCTACTATAAACAGTGGCCAACAAATGGGATGGATCAAATACTAATTTTTTTGAAATTCAAATACTTCTTGCAATTATTGACACAATTGGAAATACAAAAACAAATACTTCTGAAACTAAGCAAAAATATAAATATAAATGCTTTTCACACAAATACAAGTGCTCTGAAAAAGTATTTCAATTTAAATACATTTTTATTTGATCTGCCACTACAAACAAGCACTGAGCATTGACAAAATCTAAATTAAAAGATGTCAAGACTAGAGCAATTAATTTGATCTATCTGAATTTGTAAAGCCACAACATATGACCAGGCTTGATGGTCAAAAATTTGTCAGTAACACCATCTACATTTATGTCCAAATTTTTCCTTTTCAGTACTTAATAAAGCCAAATTGCTTAAGCGTTCTTGACCCATTGTGCTTTGGAGATCTTTTTTTCTTAATTTTAATTACTGAAAAACGTTCACAGGATGCCAGAGAGACAGCAACAGCTAATAGTATGCACAATGCTATTTATAAATTGGGGAACACATCATCACCGTAAGATATTGTGAAATTGAAAAGCTCAATTGGGTTTTTGGTTTAACGAAGTCACCATCATTTCTTATTTGTATAAACATTTGGCAGTCTGTAATTTCATGACCAAGTTCTATTCTATCAAAATCACCATCATTTACTGCTGCTGCAGATTTGCATTTTTCTACCATGTCTTCATTCAAGTCAATGAGGCTTTCAGTATCCAAGAGGGACCCAAATTGCTCATATAACTAACTCAACCTTGTAAATTGATCTTTCAGTTCTGTATTCAACCTGTCCAGTACTGCCTTCAAGGTAACATCTATTTCTTCTCTCACACTTAGTGGCTCATTTTTCATCTCCTCTCCAGTCGTTCCTGCTTTTACAATGCATCCTTCTCTCTTGACCAACATCAATACCTCATGCTAAGCATTTTTCCTCACCTTTCGCAATTGAATTTTTACAAAGAGAATCCCATTCACTCATAACAGATTGTTGCAGACTTTGAATGTCAGCTTGAGCTTCATTGAAGTTCATTCTAGAGCAGTGAAGTCTCTTCTGTACTCAGTCGATGAAAGTCAGGATGTCATCCCAGAATGGCTGCATCATTAGAAAGCTGAAAGTTTGCATGTTGTGCAGCAAGCAGTTGGCATCACTTCTTGTGTCAACTGATACTGAAATGTCATTTGTTATGTCATCCAACTTCATTTTTACATGAACAGCACCACACCTAGCACTCCATCTTGTATCAGGGAACCACTTTACAGCCATCCCTACTGTCTCCTTTAATTTTTCCCACTGTATTGTTGAGCTGGAGAATAAATTGTACAACAAATCAAGAACTCAAAAAAATGATATAGCAAACATGTTCTGATGCTGCATGCACTTTAAAGAATGGTTGTCACAATTCACAAAGATTGCTTTCAGGTTTCTCTATGATATGCGTTTCTAAACACCAGACACTTTACCAGCCATTGTTGCAGCATTGTAATATGTCTGTCCATGACAGTCATTCAAATCAAGACCATCACATTCCAATTTTGAGGTAATTTCTTCTGTAACACTCAGTGTTTTTTTCATGAATTTTAATAAATGAACATTTCCTTGACCACAACAGTTTTAGATTCGTTGTCACCATCAACAAACCTGAGATTTTCAGACATTTGTTTGTTGTGAGAAATGTCAGGAGTTGTGTCAAACATAATCCCATAGTATCTGCTTGTTTTGACTCTAAGATACACTGATGTACTTTGTTAATCAATAGCTCATTGAACCCATTCTGTATCTTGCCAGACAAAAATGTTGCAGAATGTCAATGCAACTTGACATAATCCAAGTGATGCTGCAACAGAGGGTCATGTACTTGCTAAGTAGCTTAACAAGTGCAAGAAAATTACTGGAATTATTACTTGATGCAATGACTTTTTAGTGTCTATGAAATGCCATATGTTGAGTTGCCAAAAACTTGATAGAATCCACAAAACACATGATCAGATCCCTTTCACAATTGATTCTGTTCCTCTATAAGCTTCAGCATTACTTTGTCAATCGTAGACCCTTCTAAAATGAGTCACTCCGAGTCCTTCCATACAAGAAATGACGCATGGTGATGAGTCTCCTGTTCATATTCTGATATTCTTTTGTTGCATTTTTCCATTTTCAAAATCCAAGATTTTTCAAATACTGTATTTTGGATGGCTGGGGCTGTTGACAACAGCAAAAACAATATATTGCATCATTTTTAATAGAATACAACCCATTACACAGAATCATTGACCCATCCTGTAATTTTTTTTTGAAAGCAATAATTTGTGAAGCTGCAGTTGACACCCACATGTTTTGTGCTTGTTTCACTTCTCATTGCTTCTTCAACATGTTGTCTCTCAATATTCTCGATCTTTTGTAATTTTGAAAGAAACGTCTTTGTTCTCAAAAGCCGTAGCACCCATTTTCACTATTTGTATGCATAGATCATCAGAAATTTGTGGTTCATCAAAATCTAAGTAACCTACATCTTTCTTGGTAAATACTGCATATTTAGTTTCATCATATTGTGCATGTTCATCAGATTGGCAACAATCCACTGACCCTGTAGTCAGAGGCAATGGCAAGAACAGGAAAATAATGCAATTGTCACCATTTCCATCTGGACGTGGCATTTTTAAAAACTTCTTCATAACTTGACTGGTTTTCTGCAGATCTTTGCGTTCTTTTCCTAGGATTTCTTCCTTTCACACCAGATTCTTTCTTTTGTTGCCCGTCATTCCATTCTTAAAATTTCTGCCTGAAATAAAAGTATAACTGTCCCCCTGAGTTATGTTTGTCTCATATGGGTGTTTATTGTCAACCAAACAACAGCACATGAAACCTTAGCACAATAATGCCATGACACTGTTCCAGCATAAATAACACTGTGATAACATCACCATGAAGACTGAAATAAACAAAAAAGGGGGGGGTCAATATCAGAATCTATCCTAACTTAACAGCCGAATACATATATATGTTGCAATAAAGCATTTTCCCCATATTTTCAGCAGGAGTGCGTGGTTTTCCATGATAAACTTCACAGAACTTCTTTGAGTTTCTCAGCGTAGTATAATCACTTATTATTGCAAAGGCTACAAGAAACACCAAGCAAAGTTTTTGTCATCACTAACAACAAAAATTGTGCCATGAAACTCATGAATCTTTTCGCATCAAAACCCTGTATATGGGAATATATGGCAGTGAATTACAAAAGATCATTATGTCTAAAGTTTTTTTTATATATTCATTGAAATGCTATGATCTACTAATTGAGGCAAGAAGAAAAATCATCATTATTATCATTTTACAAAGAAATGCTTCAAAATTGTAAAAAAGAAAAAAAAAGAAAATGAAAATTCTTGTAAAAATTCCTTTTTCATCAAAAAAATATTTTTTCTTCAGACAATAATGTCTTTAATATATTATTCATAAAAGTAATTAAAAGCTTCTCTAATTAAATGTCTTAGTTTTATTGCATTTTTTTATTTTTCTATTCAGAACAGATTTTCAGTAACACCAGGTCTGATTTTGCAAAATATTTGGTGATTTAAATTCTTCAAAACATTCTGGCTAAAACTTGCTATGCTAAAAGTTAGTACAACTCCTGATGCAAGAAAAACAAATTGATGAGAAGTTTAAATAAATATAATAGAATTTTAATTTTAAATTCGCTATTGTCAAAAAAAGAGAGACAACATTAATCTTAAACCTTGACAACACCCATAACCTTAGTTTTTCACCCACAAAAACTCAACCACCTGCTTGTAAATATGACCCATCTGACCAGTTTTCACATAATATTGATGACTGTCCAGAATTCACAAATAACTGGGTACATCCTTACAAGACTTGCACATAGTAAAACAGCAGAGTGCACAATCTTCCTGATCCCAATTCTGCCACAGTTACACAACCTCTTTACCTATTATGAAATAGGTGTGTCATCGAGCTGAATCTAATTATAAAAGTGGGGGAGAGTGAAACTATACAGTTTAGTGTTAATTTGTTTGGAATTTCAGTCTATATGAAATATGATTAAACCAAATTCACTAGAAAATTTATTTTCAGGATGAGAGTCTTTTGTAGTAATAATGAATAAATAAACTCTAATCTTCCAAAAATTTCACTAATCTATAGAGTGACCAAGTAGCGTATTTAAAGAGATTTTCATCCTTATCTGACATTTGTATTAAGAATTTACAATTTCTCTATAAAAGTTATTGCATGAACATAAATTCTAAATACTGTATAAACTCACATTTTCTTTTTAATATTTTTTTAACCCCTGGAAAAAGAAATTACTATTGTATAGCTGCACGCTATACAATAGTAATCCAAAAATGGTCACCAAAAATGCATGGACTGTAACCTCCTGAAAAAATTACCTGTGTATATTTTAAGCGTCTATGTTTTACATAAAAAAATGATTGTAAAAACTCAAGTATATACAGTACCTAAAAGTCAACAATAGAGATGGATTCATAGATGCAAATAATGTCCTCTTATAACATTCACTGATGAAGAAATGAGGAAGATTTTATGCTATTGTAACTTTTCCAGGGAACTGGCAGTCAAACAGGAATTGAAATTTATAATGGAGTTCAATTCAAACACCAAATATATTTACCCAGAAATAAAAATGCCTTTTGAAAACAGAAATAATAATCCTCATCTTTTAGTTAAGAATAGATGATAAATGTAAATAATATATATATATATATATATATAATTTCAGTTTATTGTTAATAAACAATTTAAAATCTAAACACTACAGGTCAATCTGCAAACAGAAGAACTGTCACAGACATTAAGCTAACTCATTTTTGCAAGTTTTGATAAAACAGCCAAATTTCAAATGAAAATTAACTGTTCACCTAAATGGCAAAAAAAATGTTCACACTTTAGTAGCTGTAGCATAAAAATGACCAAATGAAAGTGGATCTTAAATCACAAAAACTATTCAACTTACCGTAAACTTCTATGGTTGAGACTTAGTGCTATACAATTGATGGCATGTTTATGAGCAATTACCAAGTTGAAACCATACTGAAAAATAGAACAGCATTTGGTGAGAATTTTATATACAAAAACAAACTCTGTTGTAAAACTATGATTCAGAAAAGTAGGCAAACCAAATTACATACTATTTCAATCAAAATGAAATCCAGTTAGATTTTGAAAACTGGTCATTTCCTAGATCATTACACAGTAATTATTCAGTTACTAAGAGATCATTCTGTAAATTTCTGTAAAACTAGTTCTGTGTTGGATCTCTCTCTCTCATATTCATATGGGGAAAGATGCATAACAAAGTGGAAAAGTTTAATAGGTTTGTTTATATTGATTGCATTAGATGCTTTTTAAGAGATTTAGGCATTTTTCAACAAGGTTGTTAGTGTAATGTGATTTTATATCTAGACTGGCTATGAGTTTGTCAATCACATTAGTTTCCCCTAGTTTTTCAAGTTAACATCAGCTTAAAACTCAATGAATCAAAAAATATATTGTTTTACCCACTATTACAATTACAATTGAAAAGAATTTATCTAAACTCAAAAGAAAATTTGTCATAGCTATATCTAAAACAATAAAAGATTTAATACAAAACAACAAGTCAAACCTTGAAGGAAGAATTTACTTTATCACTGGCAAAGATTGCCAGAAACAATATATTGGAGAAACCTCAAAAAGTTTAAATAAAAGATTATATGAACACAAAAGAGACATTTTAAAAACAATACATTAAACACAGTTACTCACTGTAATGTAACTGACCACAATTTTGAAATAAAAAAAAAAAATATATATATATATATATATATATATATATATATATATATATGATAAAAAATATAGTTTTAAGATATGCTATATTCATGGGTAAAAGTTGTCAATATCAGAGATAGAGCATATGTAAATATAAAAAGTGGACAATGAGGTCAACACTAATCAGCGACAGTGTTTCATGTTTGAACATAATATTCAGTCTATGTATGTTGCATTTTGGCTAAACTATATATACTGGTCAATTATGCATTATGGGTAATAATTGGTCAGTTATGCATTAAGGGTAATAAGGTCTATTGTATTATCCCAACAGTTATTGGGTAGGTGATAATGGTGCTGGATATTTTTCTCCCAAGAGTCACTCAAAGTAGAGGGTTACAGATTAAGAAGCACAGTTTATGGGGATATGTGGGGAGGATAACAGTTTACTCTAGACTTAAACAGGTTAAGATTGTAGTGATCAGGAAAGCACCCCTTTTGTAAAGCTGTTGCTCATGGGAAGAATCTGCTCAAATGGAACTTACATCTCACCAATAGAATACAAAGGGAATGAATGTGGTTCACTACAATGTGTGTGGCATAGCAGGTCTTAGCTGTCAAGGTTGTAACTGGTGGAAGTAAGGAATGTAGTTCATCTGAACACTTTTCATGGAAATAGTAATAAAGCAATGAGGATTGAAACTTTTCATCTGTGGGAAAGGGGAGTTATAAACTGAAACTTACATAATACATTGCTCTTATAAGCATACAGAATCTTTTACCTACATCATTTGGTTAATACCATTAACCCTAGAACACTAACCATCAATTAAAGTTACACCACTACTAACCATGGGTATATTATACCAGATTTTGAAAATATCAAAAATTAATATAAATCTTTATTTGAAATATTTTACATGCTGACATTTCAAACTTTGTACTTTGAGTTAACATTAATAGGAACTGAAAAACATTATTTAGGTAAGAAAATAAGGTACTGAAAATTGTAATGAAAAATAGGAAAATTTGCACTGGGTACTATATACCCATGGTTAGTGTTCTAGGGTTAATAACATTAATTACATAATGAAATCTAACTGTATTTGAACTAGCATCACATACCTTTCAGAAATCAGTAATAGAGAATTAAAAGTAAAGATTGAAAACTGTTCCTAATGTTACTAAAACGGTAAAATTATTCTTAATTTAATAAACAATTTATTACTCTTGAAACCAAAATACTTTTAAACCAAAGTAATACATGCTTGAAATGAATTGCAGCAAGAAAAAAAAATATTCCCAAAAATTCCATTTTCAAATCTAATTTAAAAATAAAGACAAGAAAATTAAAATCAAGTAAATCATTTATTTGTAGAACACAAAAACTTAAACATCTAGCTCAAATTAAGTAAAATATTTTACTTACCTGATGATTCATAATTGCTCGAAGACACATAATACACACATGGACATCATCCCTGGGTTCCCCCATATTTAATTTTGTATTATATTTTAACCCCCGTGGTGACCCCACTGTATTGGACCTTCTCATCCTTCTGATGGGACTCCTAGATAATCCAGAGTCTAAGCTGGCACTTTTTTCTCTGTTTAATAATTGCTCGCGCCTGAAAGAAAGGAAATCAGAAAATACTATGAGAAACCAAATTACAAAGTCTATAAAAGGTAAGTGTATTTTTCAATTAAAATTATTTCTATAATCATGACAAGTGAACTTTCCTACATTTTATCTTTTATCATCTATTTTGACATTAATGCTAACAATAATATCATGAAATAATAATTAAGAAAATTATAGTTAAAAGGGAAAAAAAATTTAAATCTTGAAAAACAAATTATAATGTACAATATTAAATGTCTAATAAAAAAAAAAAATAAACTTTTTAAACAGTTACTTTAAAGAAGTTGTATAAAGAGAGTATTTATAATAAACTAACCTCATAACCACTTGTGAGAAAGACAGGTAATCAACCAGCACATCTAAACCTTGGTTTTCATCATTTAGGAATTCTCGAACCCATCTGAAAATTAAGTTCAAAGACAAATTTGAATGAAGAATCTTCAGTAAAAACAAGATTTACATAAATATTTTTTTTAAAAAGTCAATTTTCTGAAAAGATTATTAGCAAATGAATAATTTTCAATCAAGTTATCAAGGAGATAACTGATAACTGACATCCATTAGACATGGTACATGGAACTAGAACAGTCTACCCCAGTGAGTGAAATAAAGGGTTCAGTTCAACATTCCAACCACCTGAAGGAAGCCAGAGCATACAACAGCCAAAACGTCATAATAAATATGACAACAAAGATGAGAACAATAGTCCGAATAATTTAAATAGTGTACAAGTAAATGCTATCTCAAGCAGAAAATGATGATCACAAACTGATTTCAAAATTTAATTGATAAAAGCAAAAATTAAAAAAAACAAATAAAAATAATTTAAAAATTAAATGGACAAAAATAAGAGGAATTGTTAGTATAAACTGCACTACATATACAATCATTTACTGCATATGCAGGTATATAAGTGACTGCTCCTGAACCCTACAAATTCTCAAATACTTAATTCAGGTTTAAACCAAGATAATGGAATGATAATTGAGCATAATATGACTGGATGACAAACCAAGGAAGCAGCAGAATTTACCAGCCTATCCTGGAATTGTAAAGTTTGCATCTACAAATTTTTATGGCTATCTAAATTCAACTCAATTTGTGCTGCAGCCTTATTTCCACCTCTGCCATGGATTAGCAACTTCTTCCTTGATAGAGTGGTTGACTTTTTTCTTTTGGCTTTTTTAAAAATTTTATTTATTAATTTCTTAATGCTTCAACTGTTTATCTATAAACCAGCATATTTTTTATATATATATTACACATATCTAAGTAACAAACAGTATGGGTTTTGCTCCTCTCCATTTACTGCTGCTGTTATCACACAGAGAATCAGAAAAAAGCATGCAATATCTCCAGAGTGATTGCCTTAGATATCACAAAGGCTTTTGACAAGATGTGGCAAAGAGGAATTGCTGCACAAACTGTACAGATATGGTATCTCTAAGAGAACTTACATGACCATCATGTTGTTTCTCTCAGATAGATCTGAGAAGATAATCATGATTGGCCAGTTGTCCAAAGCTCATGAGGTCAATATAGGCATCTTCTAAGGCTCTCTCATCAATCCTAATCTCTTTCTGCTTTTTATAAAGGATCTGCCAAAAATTAAGATGATCAGAGCCTTTGAGATGATCTTTTCTGACCTAACGAACAGCTCAATTGGGAAAAAAAACTGGCTTGTAACTTTTGATGCCACACTCCAATTATGATTGATGGTTGCACTCTCAATGAGATTCCATACTGAATGTCTATTGGGTCTAAAGTTCATTCCAAAGCTTAAGTAGAATTCTGATATACAAGCCAATGATAAAAATGCTGGAGAAATGATAGGCTCATTCTATTACTCCAGGAAGTAGTTAATGCCTGCTATTTTTTACCTTTACAAAAGTCAGATTATAACAAAAATAGAGTATTGCTACCATATCTGTGCTGGAGTTAAGACAATTTTCACTTTCCAGCCTTGATAGATGTTGTGTTGTAAATAGGAAAAGTTGACATACATAGAAAATAAGTAGTAGTTTATTCCAGAAAATAATATGGTACATGGTTGAGAAAACTAATATAATAAACAGTTAATCGTTAATTTCCCTTCCTCAGTAAAAGAGAGTGCTGTTTAAATAGTCTTAGACCAGTCCATCTTGTAGGGGTGTTCAGCTACTTCACAACAATAGAGTTCAAAATCATTTACAAGGTCTTGTGAGGGTAGACCTAGCCTCTCTTATGCAGCCTCTTTCCCCACAGCAGCGTTATCACTATTTCCATAGCAAATGTTCAGATGAACGCCATTCTTTAGTTTGACAAATTCTGACCTTTGCTACTAGGAGACTCCAGGTTATCTACACAGAGTTGAATTCCTCTCAGTTCCTCTATATTCCAATTATAAAGAGAAAGTTCCATTAAAACAATTTTTGCTAATAACTGCTACTTTGTAGAACAGACGTGTGGATGCTTCCCTGAACACTTATCTTGGCCTCTTGAAGTCAAGGGTCAATCGTTATCTATGCTTCATATCCTCTTAATTTCCTAACACCACCTCTTTCTTTCACAATACACCGCATTCATTACAACCATTTTAACACTCACCTTATACCTTGAATGGCTCTCGTATTTTGTACTAGGTGAGCTTAGTACAAAAACTATGAAACAATACTAAACTGCTTAAAAAAAAAAAAAAAAAAAAAAAGCTTCTATAACTATTTTGTTTAAATATACTAAAACATTCTTACATTTTCTTTCTTCAAATGTGAAAAATTTGTATGCTTATAGAAGAAAACAAAAAATTGGAGTGGCCCATAAAAACCAAAATTTCCAAATCCCTTAAGGTGATAAAGAAAAACAAGAAAAGGTCTTTTGAAAAGTTTACTAACACATTTTTATGTTAAATATGTGTTATTGAAGGAAAACAAATGTTTTAATAAAAAAAGATACTATTAAGAACAGCCAAATTAGGTGGTTCCTCGTCTCTAAATCACTAAAAATATAACTATTCAGAATAACAGCTGAAGGAAAAGGTAACCAGGAAATAGAATTATATGAAAGTATTTATTTAGGTAGGTATATATATATATATATATATATATATATATATATATATATGTATATGTGTGTGTGTGAACTATTGAATTTATATGCAAAAGACAATGAACCATCATATTGTATAAAACAGAATTCTACTGAATACACAAAGGTCAATAAAGCGGAATATTTTAAGAAACTGAGCAAGCAAAACGATAGAAGAAATGGGGATGTGAATGGTAAGTATGATGTATATCTAAAAATTGAGGAAGAAGCTGGGGAAGATGGGAGAGGCTGGGATAAAAAGAATATAAGCTTAAATAAGTATTCCTTTTTCTCTTGACTACTGCCAGGTCAGATTGATTATTTTGTACTTGAGAGTTTCCACATTCAAGTCCAAGCTAAGTAAATTGCGTTCATTAGAGATGGGCGGTTTAATCAAATAACTGACTTTTTCAGTTTCAGCTTCACACTGTGAAACATCAAAATTTTTTATGAAACCAAAATTATTAGGTTTCGTTTAGTGCTATCACTACTGAGTGACCATATCTAAAGAAACTATTTAAAAAGACTTTCAGATGTTAATAAAATTAAATTTTATCAACGTTTATACAATTGTAAGCGAAAAAGAATAAACAAAAATGTTAAAAACATTTATTTGATTAGTTTTAGGAAATAAATTTGAAATCTATTTGTTTACAAAAAAAATGAAGAAAAAAAGGAAAGTCAACAGATATGACACTTGGTAATCATGTTTTCAAACAGAAAAAAAGAAAAATACAACATGATGTCTGAAATCTATTTGTTTCAGTTTAAAAAAAAAAAAAAAACTTTTTGTGGTAAGATTAAGTTAACAAAATAACTAGCAAGTAAAATTTAAAAGAATAGTTGCCAGTTTTGTCTTAAAGTTAAATTTTATGAAGTCAGATTTTTTGTAACGGTAAAATTGTCTTCTAGTAAGCCAATATGCCAATCACAAAACAGAGTTGTTGTAAACAAGAAAAAAATGAATGAAGATTTTTTTTTAGAAATAAATTTGTTTTTTATCTTAGGAATGCACCGAAAGATACGAAGAATAATTAAAATAGTTCTTAATTTCACTTTTAAAATGTGTATATTTCCAGATATGCAAGTCTCTAGTGTAAAAATAAAATTGTTTGTTTTCTACAAATAAAATTAGTTTTCTATCTAGTGAATACACCTAAAATTAGATATTAAAAAAAATAAAGTTTTAATCTCAGTTTTAAAATGTGTATATTTTCAAAACTGCAAGTCATTTTTTTTAAATCCAAAGTAAAAATTCTTTTTTTAGCCACTATTGTTCAGTGGGTGTTTGTTACTGTTCTGCCTATAAAATTCTTCTAAACAAGGAAAATTAATTCATTTTAATTTTACAAATATTTTTATGGTTTTATCTAGTGAATACACTTAAGATTATATTAAAATGATTAAAACGGTTTTTAATTTCAGTTTTGAAATGTGTATCTAAAAAAAGAACAGGTGATACTCACACATTTGGAAATCTACACATTCTAAAATTAAAAGCTTTTAATTATTTTTAATATTTAATTTTAGGCACCTTCACAAGATAAAAACAAATTTATTTAGGAGAAAAAAATAACTCATTGATCTTCCTTGATTAGAAGAAATTTATTTGCAAAACCCCAATATCAGTTGACTGGCATACCAGAAAAGGATTGCCATATTCTTAATTATTTTAAACATGGGGGAATTTCATTTTTTGGCTTTTTGAAAGCCACATCGTAAACTAATTTCTGGAGAGCTGTACCATTTTCTCTCTCAAAAATGTGTTGTCCAAAGACACAAAAATATTTTACGCTATGATTTCTTTCATATTTTACCAATTTGTTAATATGGTAGTTATTTATAGTTGACAAATTATTTGAAAGTTTAAGAAACTTTAAATGTAAGTCATGAATTCAATGACTAAATTACCTTTAAAGCCTAAAAACTGACTTTAGGTAAATAATCCCTACTTTATTACCCACCCAGTGCTCTTTTTTAACATGTCTATAAATTTCTATTACCCTTGCTTAAAAAAACAAATATTGACCCCTTAGGCACCAGTTAACAGACTTCCACAATGACAGACGTTTCAAAAAACAACACTCGAAAGTCGAAAAGTATATGGGGCATGTATTTTTATGTGACAAGACAGTAGTTTCAATAACTTGAAAGTTCTTTTACCACACTTTTTTTTTTTTTTGCTTACTTTATGATTTTCAAAGGAATTCGCTTCCACAGGCTAGGGAAGAAATGAACATCTTCCTGGTTGTAGTTTAAGGTGTCTTCTAATTGAATGAACAATTTGAAGAATAAAGATTTCAAGATAAAGGTTGGTCACTTTGATTTTGCAAAACA